AGCCGCGGAACTTGACGGTGAGGAAATCAACGTGTTGCCAATGTGACAGTCTAGTCAACTGGTAGGAAGCAGCACAGCCAGGAGCAGCCTTACAACCTAAACCAGGGTATCCTCTGTACAAGTAACAATGCAAGTACAGTATTTATGTGCTGCTACACATGCAATTACGCACACACATATATAGCTGACACCATAAATAACAGAAGTTGCGTATTCCGCGATGCCTATACAATGCATACAGTTAGCTTAGTTAGCATGCCTGTGTCGAACCGCGGGGGCGCGGCGTGACCTCTCATTATTTCCCCAATAAACTCACTGCCTAGCTACACAGCTAGTAACCCCTCTACACTGAATATACAAGCCACATAAGCGGCCTATTCACCAGCACCCTCCCATTTTAAACACTTTCTAGTAGGTTTTAAAAAACGCACGCATACAGTTTGCAACCTTGATAGCCATGTCTGCAGCTTGCTAACTGACGATGAATGTAAATACGCATAAAATGAAGCGGTTGTCGGGGTGCAAACCCAACAAGGTACCGCTTCGTTTTAGGGAAACGGGTGGCCTTCCAAAGGCTCCCTCAGTCCCATTAAATGGCTATATTATTTACATTACGAGGAGCCGATAAGGCCACCTGCATTCAGCAAAAAAGCAACGGAAAAAATCATCAGCTAAAACAAATACAGAATTTGATTTAAAATAAACCCCAAACAGGCAAACAATCACATGATGGTTTTAAGCTTTCTTTTCATACTGGGGCGGCATCTGATGGCTTCTTCACGCAGCCGAACCCATTTTTCCTGGGCTCCTGTAGAGCCATCCAACCGCTCGCCGGACCAGGAGAACGGACAGCACCGCCTAGCTAGCAGGACAATAACCGCCCGCGCAACCCGCCGCAAACCGGCGCTTTTTATATACTCCGGAGACACGCGGATCACACTGGTCGACATACCGTTTTTCCTAGCGGGCTTCTTCGATAGCTGGCGCCAATATACCCGAGCTAGTTTGGAGAATAACGGCCGACTTGCTCCCCTTCTGCCGGACCAAGTCCTCCTCTCGGCTTCAAAATGGCGCCAATTTGACTCCGGCTGCACCAATCCAGCGGCCGCGAGCCGCCAGCCCCTGCGCTCGTGAGCACAGTCTGCAGACGCGAGCTTGGGGCTCCGGCCGCGCGAGTTCGTCAAAGTAGGACGACAGTGACCCCTGCGGAAAGCAATGCTGTTTTGCAGCCCCCCAGCTCATTTGTGCACCTTACTGACATGTAAAATGCAACTATAGTGTTGAGAAATCCATTTCTTACGCGAGGTATTTTCCGTGTTTAAAATTTATAATTAAAAAACAAGCGTACATTCAAATGATATACAATTTCACGACGTATCTACCTGTATATCACGGTGGGCAAGCGTTCAGCGTGCTAATTTCCGTTTGTAACCATGAACTTATTTACGTCTAAGATATATAATTGCAGCTGGTGATAGTGGAGTTACGCGGTGACCCAGTAGGTCATGCCGTTGTCTAGTAGCTATGGGTTTACAGGTGACGCTCAAGCGAAAGGCACCTTTTCCGAGCTGATTCTCATACTATAACTACGGGTTCTATACCGTTGTTAAACTGTGAAAAGTTGGACGGCGGTTCTTATGGTAACTGGAAGGTTACTAATTTCATTCTCTAGGGGGACATTTTATAAATTTCACGCACTTAAATTTAATTGTTGTACTAGAACATCCAGATCTGTAAACTTCTATCAATGTTAAAAATGTCAAAAACGCAAGATAAACAGTGGGGAGCTAAAAATTGATCCGCGATAGTAATTCAGGACTGTATTTAATTAAGTCTGCCTAAATAAAAAGATAAATTAAAACATGAAGAAATGTTGTATTGTTTTTATTTCTGTGATGGGTTTATTTTCAGAGCTGTACAACTAATTCAGTGAAGCACTAAAAATGGAATCGTAGGGAATAGCCCAGTATAGGGCACCAACAGCACTCATACTGGGGTAGAAACTCAAACCCCTGGACTCCAGAGGTGAGAGGTCGCAGTGTTAACTACTGCAACATCAGGCCACTCCTGAAACCATAATGTATTATATAATCATTGATTTGGCTCCCAGAGACAGCAGAAAGGGCGGCCAGGGAGGGCAGGCAAAGACTACTGGGTGGCCAGAAATGTGTTCTGGCAAACCATTCAAGGGCCATCTATAGGGTGGGAGGAAGGGGAAGACTTTCCAGGGGTCAGACACTAGGGGGAGCCCATGAGAGATGAGAGTGGGCAATGGTAGCTATGGATTGGAGAAGGGGGGGCATGCCATGCATTTGTGTGATCCCGCCCCCAACATATATTGCAGGCTGTGCTGCAGGAATATGAAGCTCCAGGGCTGCTTTTCTAAACCTAGATGAAGATAGTGAAAGTTGTGTCCACATACCTGGGCCAAAATCATTGGGGGAATATGCTGTATCCACTCCTACCTGTGACAGGATACTGTATCAAGGGGCAAACATGGCACAGAGATGTGCTACAGCAGGTTAGAGGCAACGTCCCTGCTATCTGCAGATATTCTTTATACATCATCTGACCTGGACCTCCAGCATGCGCCTGAGCAGTTCTGCGCTGAATGTGAAGCAGCAGAGGTGTGAAGCAGCAGAGTTGAGAATCAGAGCAAACAAAACTGAGGCCATGATGCAATCTCTGAAAAAACTGGATTATTCATTTTAGGTGAGTGAAGCATTTACGCCCTTAGTGAAAGAATTTAACTACCTCAGGATCTTTTTCATTAGTGAAGGTAAGAAGGAAAGTCACTTAGGAGACAGATACAGAGGAATCAGCTGAACTGGTTCAGGCATCTTATCTTAAATTGTAATACTGTAAAATTCAGATATCCAATTATTAATGTAACCACGTGTATGGATACATGCAGTGGTATCTACTGCCAGCATGCCACCCCCAGGGTTAAAATAATATTAATAAAAACTGATGGTAATGATAAAAACTGATTGGTCTAGAAGTTTTCCCCCCCAGATTTTTTTCTAACTCTTTTACAGTATATGAACTTTGTACTTTATTATAAAGTCATACATAATTGACTGAGTTGATACCTGTCAGTGAAATTTGAAGTATGGCATTGAATTACAGAATATTGTTAGAAAATAAAGGAATGCGATGCTAAATGGAGGCAAAAACAATAAATTAAATTTTATATCACACACGCTTAAAAAAAAACAGTGAGCATTTAGGAACATTTAGGAACATTTATTGAAAGCCAAGTTGAATTGTGTTCTTGTGAAATTAATAAATGCAAGATATCATCCATTTGAAAAAGGTCCAGGCCTTGTATTCACAAAGTATTTTATCTTATCACTAATTTATTCTTAAATTGCACTAAAAGTTTTTAAGTAAGAGTTTTTCCCTAAAACCTATTCACAAAGTGGCTGAGAGCAACTTTTAGTTAGGAAACTTTTAGTTAGTTAACCAGCACCTAAGCTAAGAGTAAGACTCCGTCACTTTGTCTGACGTCGGTTCTCATGCACGAGCTTGCCTGCAATAACCACGGGGATTGATTGATGAGAAGCCAGTATGTGCTAGTGAACATGTACACGTGACATCCCATAAACACAAATACAGTGGAAACTGCTTATAGTGATCACAGTTATAGTGACCAACTGCTTATATGGATCAGAAAACCTTGGGACAGAATCATTCCTGTACAAATACTGTGTTTTTTTTGTTTGTTTTACTTTACTTTGATAGCCCTACTTTGCCTTGTGGTAACCCATCTGCTTCTGGCTAGCTCTCTGAGGCTAATGCAGCGAGCATGGGAAACATGACAGGAAAAAGAAAGGCATTTTCTCTCAATAACAAATATAGACTCATCACAGCTTATGATAAACTGTCAAAACCGAGCCAATGAGATGCAGCAGCGAAACTACAATAAGGTATATTTTATGTACAGTACTGTATTATAACGAATTTCAAATTATACACAGTTCAGTAATTTGAAAAGCGTTTGAAACAGCTGTACTGTATTTTGAATTAGATGGTAATCTGCCTGAGACCTAAGGAACAGCATAAAAAGAAACAAACAGTTATAACGATCACTATAAGCAATTTCCATTGTAAATTTGTAACTGTTTCAGATTGTTGGAGATTTAATGTTTCCATTTAATTTGTTTAATGTTTCCATGACATTGTGACGTGCATTGACAGCAGCCATTTTGCGACTATTTGTGAATTGGTCTTAGTGACTTAGGAGTCCTCTCGACTACTTTTTAATTCTCCCAGACTTAGGTGCTACTCTTAGCGCTAAGGGGCTTTGTGAATTGCTCTTAGTCAAAAAAAATAGGAGTCCTACATTTAGGACTGACACGCCCATAATGTTTTCTCCTAATTCCGCAAGTTACAGTAGGAGCTACTTTTAGCCTTAAGATGCTTTGTGAATACAGGTCCAGGAGTCTATCTTCTGTCAGAAGTCTGGTCATATCAGCAGTGACTGTTACTTTCATCTTTCATCAATACAGCTGTAATTTGAGAAACAATGCGAGCCGTACAGTTGCAGTAAGGAGGTACAGGGGCATACATAGGAAATTTAATATTAAGTATGTTTAGTAAAGCAATGCTTAGTTTTATGCTTGGAAGAATTTAGCAAAATAGAAAATGCAAACATCAACATTTGGAATACTGTTGTGATTATTGTACATAAGCAGTCAAAAGTTTGGACACACCAAGCCACCAACGAAGGAGAGTGAAAGTATTACATTACATGACCTGGTCACCTGACCTAAATCCACTGGAGATGGTTTTGGAGGAGTTGAACCAGAGAGTGAAGGAAAAGTGGCCAACAAGTGCTCAGCATATGTGGGACCTCCTTCAGGACAGCTGGACAAGCATCCCAGGAGGCCACCTCATGAAACTGGCATAGAAGAGACAGTATGGTCAGCCAGTCCCTGGGGCAATTGAGGTTAAAGGCCTTGCTCAAGGGCCCAATGGTGGGATCACTCTGCTGACCACTGGGTTTGAATCGACAACCTTCTGAGTCCCACAGAGCTGCCTCCCACCCACACAAATATTTTTTTCTGTTTAATGATTCTTTGGTAAGTACATAATTTCATATATGTTATTTTATAGTTCTGATGTCTTTGTTATTATTCTACAATGTAGAAGTACAAATAAACCTTTCTATAGGTAGGTGTGTCCAAACTTTTGACTGGTGCTGTATATTTTTGGTTCTGTTAAAGTCACCTGTTACCGTTTCAGTCATGACAAAGCTAAGAATTGAGGACATCGTATATATTTCTGACTTTTTCAAATCTTCTCTTCATGTTCTCCATTACTGGTAGTGGCACCACATAATTGTTACGCCTGCATTAAGAGTATAACAAATTAACATCACAGTGTCATTGCACGTATATTTTAGAATATTTTTAAATTATACTGAAGAGCCACCTTTTAATCTCTCTCACTCATCTATTAAGTATGTAAATCATACGCTACCTGAATAGAGTTTATATCTTATAGAATGATAATTATATCATGCATATACTGTATGCATTGAAATATATTTTCAAAATGAAAACTAATCTTAATTAGCAGGATACTGTAATATTTTGTGGCTTTTTATTATCCATACCTGTACAGTTCCTCAGTACTGCATTTCCAAGTGTCCCAAGCATCGCGAAACCTTATGTGGTAACGGAACCGAAGACCCTTTTCACGATAGCAGAAGACATAAGCTCAGATGAACAAGACATTGTTAAAAGCAAAAATCACGTTTTCCACTTTGTCTTCAAACCGTTACACGGACAACGACATTACTCACCATTTCCACGTAAGGCTTCATTTCCCAGCGCCGAATGTTAGTATTATCAATTATGACTGGATTCGTTCGGTTCTTCAACTGACAGAAAGCTGATGGGGTGAAAATGAAATGTAGTTCACCTATACCTCCATCCATCCACTTTCTGAAACCACCTGTCCTACTACGGGGGGGTGGGGGGTGGGGGTGGGGGTGGTGAGCCCATCCCAGAGGCTACGGGCGCAAGGCGGGGAACAGCCCAGGATGGGGTGGGGGGGGCACCCACCGCAGGGGACTTCACCATTACGTCATCCAGTAAACTTGCAGAAGGGGAATACCGGTCTAGTCATTTTACTACATGGTTTATTCTATGAGTAACATACACGTAAACACAAAACAATAATAAACGTTTAATAACATATAATTTTTTAATATTTAATTGAGTTTAACGGTATTCAGTTTGTTCCGTATCATTTTTTGTCCGACTTACCTCTACTTCGATTCCACTGATGCGCTTCCGATAACTTCCTCCTGTTGAAATGCATTATCCAGTGTTCATCTCTAAAATAATCGTCGGTAGACAGTATTACTCCTTTACCATACTTCTCCTGTATTGTTCTAAAAGGAAGAAACGACAATTATACATTCGATCACATCTTGAACAATTGCATTTAACCATAAAAGCATTTGTCAGCGCGACAAAAATAGCCTTCATTAGGATATTTAAGTCACCAAAGCGATTTTTTTTACTTTTAAAGCCGCTATCGAAATATTAAATTGTTCTCAGGCAAAGTAATAACCAACTTAGAATTCTTAGAATACTAAACCTTGCTATTCGTGACTTTCCGGAACCAGGTAAACCCCTCATGATGTACAGGTGTGGTCTGTTCCATCGCCTTCCTTTAGACATTTTGAACTATTTGTAAGTACTCTTATTGTCTGCTGTCAGTTTTTGTTTTCACAACCTAATGCAGTTCTCTTTCTCTCTTCCTTCCTAGTAAAACTGTTTTGCTCTTTGCATATGTACGGGCTGCTGAGATGGGAGGTGCCCAAGAAGAACGAGGCTGACAGTTTCATAAGCAATAACGTAATTATGTGTAAAATGTAATTTTTACAAGTTTCTGAAAAGACTATCGAAGACAATAATACTAAACGAAATTAAGGCATAACCACTACAGTGTTGATTGATATTGTTGAACAAGCTAAACATTTTCAACTAACTCAGTTTTACCAACTAGATATTACAAACGCTACAAATCCAGCCAAAGCTGACATTTATTTAGGATTCTTCCCATATGCCTCACCAGATCTGCACTATCAGTATAATGGCCTGCTTATTTATGATAAGTGTTTCAGTGATTTAGGATTCTGTGCTGGGGATCAGAAGGATTTTGGTTCAAATCCTATGGCTGGCAAAGTGGTTTCACCATTGGGCCCTTGAGCGTGGCTGTTATCTAACCCCAGTTGGTCTACATGGTGTCAGTGTGTCTCATATGCTAATATGAATCACTGCTTCCTCAGTGGTATTTAATGCTTTGAGATAACTTACGGTGAAAGTTCATGTTGGGTACATGTGCCATAGAAATTTCGCTAAAGTCGAGTGTTTAAGAGTCTGACAAACTTTATTGTACCACAGAACTTTGGGGGAACAGGAACTCAGCAGTTTCTCTGTCCCCTGAACAACAAGTACATTCATCTTTTATAGCCAAAAACGTGCCAGTTTACAGACAGTTCTAGGAGGGGCCGGATATCTGTGGACACCAACTACTTCTGTTAAATGGCACCTATTATCAGTTCAAGGCAGGGTTGACTTATTTGTGATCATTCTTGTGGTTTCACTACCCTGTTTAAACAAATTATGTTCTTCATCTCATTTAGCCACATGTTCCTTCGTTCTCTTTTCATGTATCCTTGACCACTAACATACATGCATTTCTTATATTGGTTGCTGAAGCAGCTTTACTTCTCGGGTCAGGTCTGTACCATGATCCGGTCTTTTTTTGCAGAAAAGCTATCATACCAAAATATGTTAGTTCCTCTTATCTAAAAATGAAAACCTATTACTTAAGCAAGCTTGCATTATTGCACTATACTGTATATTTATTATGTTGAATGTTTCAAGGCAGAAGTTAATCGTTATAATCATCGTAGTTGAATCAACAGTATTATCATAAGTTTTGTTATTAATTACTGATTGAATTTGCATAATCATGGATTTTTCTACCTACCACACATGATCTATGTGATCCACATTGGCTTTCTGTTATCTGCTACTTGACAGAATTTTCAGCAGGTAGTGGTCGACGACTTTCACGATTGCTACAAACAACGAGGGTTAATAAACTACTCATTACAGTCAAATACCGTTTCAGCTTAATGTTTTAGTAAGAAACACAGATGTCGACCAGCGAGTTTTGAGGGGATTTGCACTCTCAGCCACAACTTCAGACATGAACATGAGGAAACCAAAATCAACCAGCTTACGGCATACACACAGCCCAGTGCATCTTAAACAAGCAGCCCAGGTGTGTATCAGCAGTCCCTGGATCAAACCTGCGCAAAGTGCTATTATTCACAGCAGTTTACAGAGCCTAATCATACCCCTTTCTAGATGTAGACAGGTTCATTACAGTGATGCAGCTCAGGGACCTTGCTTGCTGAGTAGATGACATCTTGTGATTGAGCAGGTATTACAGAATGGTTCATTCTGACCTTCATAAGCGCAACAGACATAATTGAGATGAAATAGCTTGGCAGCCCCTTACTGTTCATAAATGGCTTCTTTGTTACTATTCAATGTCTGGTTTAACAATAGGGGTTATTATTATCTCATAATAAAGGTTTATTTTCACAAACATTAAGCTATGCAACACGCCAATCACTACAGCTAGATGATGTTCTCAGCGTAAAGATTGAGTGTAGAATATATTAGTAATATTGTAAAATATCATAGGCAATGTCATTTACATATATATATTTATGCTTTTTTTCCACTTTCGTTTCCTTTTCAGTTTAGTTTCAGTTTAGTTTTACGAGTTTTGACCATTTTTATTTCAATTTGTATTTTTCCTGAGCTTCATAATTTGATTTTAGCATTCCTCAAATAAAAACAAACAGCACATGATGCATTATGAATAATGCCAAAGCTTTAATAAACATTGTAAAAGCTTCTCTCACTTCATCATAAGCATGTGCGTGGTGGACGGTTAGGTGGTGCTTTAAATTAGTTGGTTTCTTTCCATGAAGGGGATTCCCAAAGATAATGTTTGCCAATGAGGGAGGTGTCGGTTGGTGTGGTTATTCCCCTTAAGCTGCACAACACATACTCAACTACTTATATCCATGTAGTGGCCCCACCAACTGCTACCTCCATTGGCAAAATAAATGCTAAAGCGACATGTAACATTTTACGTAACCAAACAAACAAACAACAACATGCGTAGTGGTGCAGTGGCTACACAACATCATTGCCCCATGAAACTTAAAAATGCATCTACAAATTTTATTCTCGCTTATTCATTCACAAAGTCCTTGTTGAAAATGCATTAACATATCAAGTTATTCACAGATTGCTTCTTACACATGTCCTACCTCCAGCAGTCTATAGTTAGTAAGTGAAGTTTTGGCTGCAGTGCCATAAGTGAAATAGGCCTACATCATCATGCAAAAACACGGGACAGAAATCAAGGCGCCGTGTAGGAATATCTCAGCTGCTCGAGAAATGAATGTCTAGTCAGTGACACAATTGATAAATGAAAATTAACATTAAAGCTGAAGGAAAAAAGAAAACGTCATTTTTAGAGCGAAACTGAACTTTTATGAAACCGTTCATTTTTGAATCTTTTACTAAATTTTGGGGCATTAAGAAAAACAGGTTAACACTGAAGGAAGTGGAGCTGCTGTCCAGCGAGGCGCGATTTGGACACAAGGAGGGAGAGCTGGGCTCTGTTAGATCCTGACATGCAGCTATAGAAAACAGCTGGACGGATAATAATATATCTTATAAAACAGATGTTCTGAAGTCATAACAAATTCTTTTTCCTTTAATTGCAATAACTTTAATTGGCTTAATTTCGATACCGCAGTGATAGACCAGTTTGAGCAAACTGACACTGTTCCCCTCCCCCCACGTCGCAACAGCGTAGCGCCCCCACTTGTATAGCAGCTGTGTGCTGGTACCACAGAGCAAGTCAGTTTCACTTTGTCTTGGATGGTGCACCCCCAGACAAGAGAAATCACATGACTAAGAATGTGTTGGCTGCCTATGTTGCCTATAGGACTGACTGGTCCTGCATTTACAACATACTCTTATTAGAGCCTGGATCGTACTCAAAATGGTTTCACACCATAGTTTCACATTTGCATCCAGCTCGCTGCATGCCCATGTTTAATCTAATTTCTATGCAACACACCTTAATCTCGCAGGGGCACATGTAGTTTTGTCAGTTTGATACACCTAGAGTAGGCTTCATTGATCATCGATTATTTAGAGGAGGGACATTTGGTAAGCCAGTACAGGCTGATAATCTATAGCAGAGGTCCCCAACTATTTTTCTTCTGAGACAAAATTTGCAGAGTGAAATTTTCATTTCTAATCACGCCACTAACTCACTCACAAGCAGTCAATAGACGAAGGACAGTTTGTAAGGAGGCTCAAATGGCAAGGCAATGAAAAGTGATTAGAGTAGAGACACAATCAGCCAACACTAGCGTCACATCCTATTATGAGTTTCTTCCACACTCCTTTACACATGCTCTTCACTTTAGGATGATTCAACGTGATATTTCAACTTTATGATGGCGCGATAGCGATGCACATTCAATAGTCAACTTTGTATTTTGATCAGTTCCCATGGTAGCAATATGCTAGTTCTTACCGATGCTGGGCATTGGCAGCATCCATGCAACTATGATGGGTTCTTCAGAACGTAATTCCATCATAAGTCAAGGAGCAACTGTATTCTTGATACATCATGTCCATCAGAAGACATCCAACTACTAACAAATTTTGTTAACAATATATGATATTTTAACCAATCAGAAGAGAGAAAACTTACATGAGCACTAGGTGTCCATCTGACTCAGGACCTGTACATACAAGAAAGATGTTTAGAGATCCAATTAATCATTTCGACTGCTACAAAGACAGTTCTCAGGCCACTTCTCCAGCCCTAGTGACTCCACTTAGTCAGACTCAAGGTTGTAAACTATAAATAAGGATAAGAATGACAGCAACAGCAGAATGGGTTGCAATGACCTTTTGCACATATATTTCATCTGGGACTACCCAAAAGATGACCTAATTAGAAATCAATGATAGTTAATCACTAAGTAACCCTGATTATTAATGAATTCCTAAATCACTGTTGATTAGTGCTGATTATTTATAAAAATACATCTCACACAAGTAACCACTGCTTTACAAATTAATTTAATGCCCCTGTAATTGTCTTCCCGAATGGGAACCTGACTGTAATATCATTGGATACTTTAATATGCAAAGATTCAAGAATTCTTATTAGTTATATGCAAGTCATAGTCAGACTGTATACCCACAATGAAATACAAGATGGACAACTCTACCATAGTAAAAAAGTAATATCATTAATGGAATTAAATGGAAAAAAAAACAATATTAATAAATATGTAATAAATAAGGAATAGAAAGCTATACTGAAAGTGAAAGAAAAAAGAGATGTGCAATATGGCTCAAATAAAGTACATAGTGTATATGTAAGGAGCAAGTATTAAATCATAACTGACATAGGGTTACAGGTATTTCGAAATCTGATAGCTTGAGGGTAGAATCCCCATACTATACCACAGTATAATGTACATGTTGTGTTTGACTTGTGTGTGACCCATATCTGTATTTTGTAACACTGAAAGCAAAATGTTAAAAGACAACAAAAATTTCAGTATTACATTTTTTTGTAAAATGGGTGTCCTGTTGTCCACAATGGTGCCAGAATAATCTGAGTATAATTTTGCTTCTAAATCAAATTAATTGTAATGGAAGTTACTGGCAAATAAGTTCAATGAAATAATCCACAAAAGAAAGATAATTTTGTTTCAGTAGCAATACTTTTTGGGGGACAGAAAATGCTCATGAACACAATGTACACATGTAATAAACTCTGCTCTAAAAGCAGGTACAATGGCATAGGGAAGAGTTTGATATTGGAGGAAACAAAACATAATAATGAAAAGGTAAAGGGTAGTTTTTTGAAGGGGATGAATGAAGCCAAATTAAATAGGGGGGGCATGTCCCACCCCCCTGATCCCATGTCCCTGCACAAATATAACATCATACCATCTTCCATAACCTATCCAGCGCAGGGCCACAGTGAGCGTCTTATATTACACACAATGCAATACACGTATTCAGAACCAGGGGCCCCAGTCAAGCGCCCAAACGCGTAAATGTTACACTATATACTACGCACTATATTACCGACCCCCAGGCATTAACTCGGTGGAAATTTCATTCGTAGTATTACCGCACATCTCTACGACTCGGGTTCGAGTCTGTGTTCCGCCTCCGTGTATGAAGCGGGTGTTGTATTTTCGTTTCGCTGTAACTTGTTACAATGACAATAAAGGCATACATTTCTCTTCTGACTGTAACGTCTGAGTCCAGTATACAAATTAGTCAAGCTGCAAAGTCTTGGAAGGTCACTATGCACCCCAAAGATGTTCGTTGAAATTTTCAGACGCAGTTAGAAAATCTTTAATTAGTCACGCTTTCACACTTGTTTCATGCACCGATCCCTCGTTTATTGTCCCCAAATTTCGATTGGACCTACAGGATCTCTGCATCTACAGTCAAATAAATAAACAAACAAATATTTTTTTCCCACGACAATCCACCTGTGTAATTACCACTGTGGGTTTCCATCAGTCTTAGTCAATTGGCGCTCACCACGTAAGCTAATCGAGGGTCAATCCTATATATAAGGTCCCTTTAGCTGCACCCTGCTAACTGGCTTCAATGGAGGGATTTATGTTTTCGCCGCATAATTTCAACATGTATACCGGGGGCAGCCCATATGCGTTCAACAATCAAAAAACCAAATACCAGCACTGGAATAAGAAAGGGAGTCTCTACATGCCACCCGAAGCTATGGACTACCTGGATTTTTGCAAACGCGCTCAATTGCGTGCGATTCTGTCCCAGGTCAACCCAAATCTCACACCCCGGCTACGAAAAGCCAACACTAAAGAGTTCGGTGTCCAAGTTAACCCAAAGGTGGATGCGGTGGTCCAGTGCTCCCTTGGCCCGAAGACGCTGTTCTACCGCGACAGAAAGTGGTTTTCTTCAAAGGTGCCACAGACTCCAGAGAATAGGGAGAAATTCATGCCCAGCACCCCGATCAACGTGCGTTTTTCCCGTCCAGTTGCTATATACTCTCCCGTCTTTGATCGGAGGTTTTTTACGGTGCCCGAAAACTCTGTGGACGAACCAAGCCAATTGGATGAAACCAAGAAAGACCGTGGCGATAAGGCGAAGGTGGAAGCCGCCGTAAAGGAGCGAGTGGTGGAGGAGGCTTTCGGACCAGAGTCGCGTCACAGCGCACTCGATCCTACCCAGGTGCCGAAGAAATTCAACTTCCAGGTGAGTCGGGAGTCCGTCTCTTCCAATTACACGTGAGCACCAAAGACGTCTTCACTAAACATCAATTATTTTAAGTTTCTTCACCACGAATAACTGGACTTTCTTCCCCCATAGTTTCTGGAACAGAAGTATGGATTCTTCCATTGCAGCCAGTGCAACATAAGATGGGAAAGCGCTTACGTGTGGTGCATCTCGGGAACCAATAAGGTACGATTGCGTATCGTGGAGTTTTAAGCAAAAATGACACTACATCTGATGTAACAGCCGGGGGATTTCGCGGGGCTTCGGTAATACTTGTCCCCATCTTCAGGACTACGTGCATTCCGTATACGCGGCACCGCTTTTAGGACATGACTTTTGGAATCTCTCTTCGAAAGAGAAATCAGGTTCAGCACCGTAATTCTCTTCGCAGGTGTACTTCAAGCAGTACTGCCGCAAATGTCAGGTCGGATTCAATCCGTACCGAGTGGAGTCGATCCAGTGCCAGGTATCCTCCCCCCCCCCCATCTCAATGTCTGTAGCTTAACTTGACCAGAAGTAAATGCTGCAAAACACTGTATAACCATTATTGGTTCTTAATGAGACTCTGCTGGAGTGCTATAAATCTGAGTGTGTGTGGAAAGGATGGTTAGGTGTGTAGATACCAGTTGGGTTGTGCACCCCCCCCACCAATATTTAATTGGTTTCATCCCCACCACAATTTTCCTTTTGCATTTCAAATAAGTAGGGTTGCCAACACTCATGCAAGCAATCTTGTGGCAAATCTATGTTCCTTTTTATAAACCTAAAATTAGCATCAAAAGCGCTGGTGTGGTTCAGACACCCTACAAATCCCTGTTTTCAAGGTAATGACTTGCATGCGTGTGAATGTCCAGACTCATCTCAGATCTCATGCCAGACAGCTAATGTTGGCAACCATGATTAAGATCTCTTCCCCCCCCCCCCCTCCCCAAATGTCAAACCCTAGTGCCCCAGACTACTTGCATTACTTTGCAAATGCACGTAGCTAGCACAGTGGCTCAGCTTGCCTCTTCACTTGAAGCTGTGCCACGCTAGTGCCGAATGCCTGACCTTGCATGCCCCCTGCAGGGCTGTGGCCAGACCCGATGCTCCTGCGAGAGGAAGCAGCGGCACATTGACATGGCGCGGCCCCACCGCCAGGACCTGTGTGGCCGGTGCCGGGGCAAGCGGCTGTCCTGCGACAGCACTTACAGCTTCAAGTACATCGTCTAAGATCTCCCTGATGTTCCTGGGTGATCTTGAACTAGCCTTTTCTATGTCTTTTATATGACCCTGTCCATATGACCAACAAGCTATTTTTGTACAATTCAAATAAATTAAACTTAAAGCAGGCTTGATTTGTGTGGTGTCATTTTAATGGGGAACACTGGGGGGTGGGAAGAACCCTTACTAGACCTTATGAAACCCTTGTACTTCCAAATGGTATCACACTGTACATAAACTCCAATTGTGCAACTATATAGAGCAGGGCTCTCAATTGCTGTATACACTTGTCCTTAACTTTGGAGGGCTAGGTAGCATGTTTGGGCTTACCCAGATTTGGCCACTTGTGCTACTTCAGTGTCTGAGTTCTGTTTTAAGGGGAGTGACTTGTCCCTTGTTTCCAAACAGTTAACATTTTATCTCTGCTGGGGGGGGGGGGCATTACACAAAGCAGGATTTCATTAGCCAGTTGATTTCAGCCAAATGTAAGGACTTAACAATAGGAATGTCACCACCTCCTGTTGAACAGTTTCACTGTATGCTAAACTAGTTTACAACTTTAGGCTCCTAAGCTCCTCAATGTGGAGCTATACTAAGGTATTGGTGGTGGTAGAGGCTGGAACTTGGGAACCTTTGACCAAAGGCATTAAGATGTCTGTAACATGTAGCAAATTGGATAATGTATGCTGTGAATCTTGCCCCAACAGCGTGATGCTGTTTTGAGCCCCATTTTTGAAGTTGGTGCATTTGCTTACAAGGTCCTTAATGTGCTTGTTCATTCTTGGTCAGGTTAGTAGTGCAAGCACCAGGATTATAGGCTTTATTATAGATGCTGCTGTCATGGTAGTTTGAGCAGCTCAACCTGAAGGAAGGTGCTGGAATGGAAAAACCACAGTAGTACTTGCTGTCCAAGAGGGTCTTTATACCAAACATGAACACTGGCATGGAGACCCAACACCAAAACAGCAACGCTATTTCAGACTGTCGAATGGGGAAGATGTGCGTACAGTCCATTGATTCAAATCACTTTTAAGCTGAAAAAGTATTTACAAGGAGGAAAAAAACCTTCATGGAAGAAAAAATGTGCTTATATTTTTTTACACTTCCTATGATCGGACTACGAAGCCCCTGTAGGGACCTGTGCACAAAAATTAAATGCTCATTCGCATGCGCACGCGATAGAGTATTTAATTTTTTTTTCCACAAGTCCGTTCAGGGGCTCTGTACCAGACAAACTTTATGTTTGAAATAAACCTGAGAACACTCTCATATACAGATGCATCTTTCAACAGAGCTACAAGTTTAATAAATATCTGTGACAGGAATCGCTGTTCATACAGTGTACATGCGTGGCAGCATCGACGGACACATTTTATTGTGTAAAAACCTTAAGTCTGACATCTCCGTTTCTCAATATAAATAGCAATTCTAAAAGCAGTAATAACAGGAGGCCGACAGTATGACGGACAGGATCACTTAAATCGCCTAGCTGACTGAGAAATGGTAGTTTCAGAGTTGGAGTTTGGTGAATTGGAAAGTAGCTACACGCAATTATGCACAAGTTGATGCGCTACAGTGTACGATGGACAGTGTTTTGCTGCCAGACAGCTTCATGAGTGCAAGCACTTAACAATGGCTAAGCTATAAAACATATACACATATATATAAAGTCTGATGTAACCAGACCAGTCACCTAATTCTCCAAACATTCAAAGAGCCAAGCTGGGATCCTCAGTGTTGCCTGCGTGTGACAGTAAACGGTGCACACGGCACCAAAACGGTGCACACGGCACCAAAGCCTTGCAGGTTCCCCCAGAAGCGGTCCAATAAAGTGAATGTCTGCAGAAGCACATTGTTTTTCATACACATATATTTTTAAACTTTGGTGTCTCCTCCGTCAGATGCAGAGGCGCTGACCATCAGCAGCGCCCTGGCGTGGAACCTGGCACGGGTGGTGCACTACCTCAGCGCATCATTGACGTTGATCCACAGTAAGGTAGGCACGACCACCACACAGGAACCCCCTTTTTAAGCCCTCGACTGGCCCCTATCTATGGCAAAGCGGGGACTATGGGACACCCCCAGATGGAAGGGGAAGACTCAGGGTACTCGGTGGCCAGGAGGGTGCTCCCACCAGGGCTGGGGAGAGGCAGGGCCAAGAAAGCCACACCCCCTGTCAGAGGCTCGTGCCAAACACACTAGAGTCAGGGATGTAGGCCGTGACGACTCGGTAGTTCCGGGCCCGTCGGACCATGTCCTGGATTTCACTGTTGAGCTCCATGAGCTGGACACAAATTTGGGACAAATCCTGGCTAGATCCGACCAGCGCATAGGTGCCCGTCTGACCCAGGGTCTGATGCCGGAAGTAGATGTTCAGCAGGGTCTGGACCTCGTCCTCAGAGCAGCTGCCAAAGATGTCGTTGGGCCACATGGTCCTGGGGAGGGGTGAAGGAGTTGGGGGCATGAAACTGGACTGTAAGGATGAACTTCGGAGTGGAAGGCCACCCACCGATACAGACAGGAAGTGGGAAAACACCAATCACTGCAGGAGCCGACTGGCGGACACTCACCTGCACTCGCGGATGTACCGGATGGCGCTGGCCAGCTGGTGGCTCCGCAGACATTCCAGCACGGCCTGCACGGCCGCCTCGGAGGACGGGAATGTGGGCGCTGCGGAGGGACACCCAGGGCCCTGCGCCTCCAAGCCTGCTGCTGCTGCCCTAAGGGCAGTCCTCAGCTCGCTCAGCTCCCGCGACATGTTTAGCAGCTACGGGGAGGGGGGGGGGGGGGGTGTTCATCAGGTTGCTAAGTAACCAGTGCCCTGCATCTATTACCTCTCCTATGCATTGTGCACTACTGCCAGTTCCACTTCCACACTTCATCAGTACTCACATCCTTCCCTTTTGACTTTGATTAATTTTCCATATCAGTTCATGTAGCACTGACCAGGAAAATCACATTAGCAAACGTAAAAGTAGTAACGTTACTTGATGGAAACTATAAAAGCAAAGAAATTGCTACAGATTGCTGAGACAACAACAGAACTTCTGGCTGAGGACCAGGACCTGCGGTCAGTGGTTAAACAACCAAAGTGATTTACTAATGTCATGCACTTGTAGTCCATACTTAACAGTCCTGGTTAACCTGGCCACACAAGATGGTACACAAGTCTGGCTTTAATAATCAGTAAACAGTACATAAGTCGGGTTTTACCCATAATGCAGCAGAATACCAGGAGGTACATATAGCTAAATTATTAAATAATTTTACATCCACTTATTACTAATAATGGCTGAATATATACATGTACTTTTCTTCGCCTCTCTATCTGTGCATTTAAAAACTTACAATACACAAATTTCTTTGTGCATCAGCCTTTACTTATTTTACCACTTCCTGCATTGCACTGCTTTTTTCTTGCAGTCTTCTCTTTTATTGCTTTGCAATTTTGCACTCTTTGTGCTGTTGTGCCCCCCCCATGCACCCATCCCCTCCCCTACGACTGTTGCGTAAGAATCTCACTCCGTTCCACCAGACACACATGGCAATAATAACTCGAATGGCGACTCAGAGCACAAACCTAAGCTTCTTTTTACCTAAAATGTGGAAGTAGTAAAAGGAGCAGCAAGTCGCGTGTGATTGGGGCCTCACCTCTGGCACGGTGCTGATGGTGTGCACTTGACCAACCAGCTTACAGTAGGACTGGAAGAGCAGCAGCAGCTGAAAGTGGAGCTTGTAGAGCCTCTGACACAGCTCCAGTTGCTGGGCAGAGGACATACAGACATGCGACGTTACGATAGCTTGACCCCCCTTCCCGCACTCAGTACACACTGACTGTGACCCCCAGAGCATCAGCGGGAATCGTCACTCACTCTCCAAACATGGAGCTGAGGGACAATGGAAAGCAGCAGCTCCTGGAATGCAACTGCTAGAGATTTTGGGCCCCATGAAAGTGTGTCATTTTGGGCCCCCAACCCAGACCAATCCAAATATGTTTGAAAATTTTAGTCATGGGCCCTTCGAATCATCCGAACCCCCCCCACCCCCCCCCCCATTACGGTGCCACTGGTCCCTGCTTACTGTACACAGCATAGTTTATCACAACAGTTAACTAGGGTAGCCAGGGCTGCATCTACCTTTTCTGGGGCCCTAGGCCAAGGTTTACTTTGGAAGCCCTTCTACTAAGAAAACTGATGCTCATTTCACTTCCTCTGTAATACAGGTAACTTCGGGACCCTAGGCAGAACCGACCAGGTATATGATATCTATTTTAATGACTTTGTCTGGGCCCCCTTGTGTTAATCGGGCCCTAGGCCTGAGTTAGGATACTAAGAGTATCCTCAGTAAAGATCTGTTTAAGTTTAAGCAGTAACATACGCTCTGCTGTAGGGTTATATTGAACTGCCTGTTCCCAGACCAGCGATAAGGTCCCAGACTGGCAATAATATTCTACTGGTACACAATCAGCTGGCTGGTGACAGGAAGGAAGCTGCTCGTTTTCGTGCTTAATCACTCTGCCCGCCCTGGCAGGTGCCCGCAGAAGCCACCACTCTCTAAGCACGCGCCCCTGTACCCACAGTGTGCAGAAACAATACAGACACCATGGAGACCAGCACAAGGACCCAGGGGAGGGGCCTCCGCATGCGACCGAAGACAAGGACCCAGGGGAGGGGCCTCCGCATGCGACCGAAGACACCACGTAGGGCAAGTTTCCACGCAAGAATCACGGCAGGACGAAATGTCGCATTTTGAACTTACGGCGAGAGATTCCATTTGCTACACGGAAAGCGTGTGACAGGGTAAGAGAGGTAGGAAGAGAACAGAGAGTCAGTGAAAGGCATGCGCCGCTCAGAGGTCCCTTTCAGAAAAGTACAGTTCCAGCTGTGGCAGTAAATAAAAAAAGAATGGCATAGTTTTACACAGACATGCGAGGGGGGAAAATAAGACATGGCCGCCTGTGAGCGATTGGACGGACTGGGAGGAAAAGGGCGGGCTCTGTTCATGCAAACCTTGCCCCCTCTGCAAGCAAATTAGGAAAGCAGTCAGTGCTCTTCCTGCTTAAAGACACTGCTGGGAAACTCGCCTTCTCATTGGGTAAGCCTCTTCACCCACAGAGGTCTGAAGCCATAGAACTCAGAACTCTGTAATTTGAAGAATTTTAATCAAATAGCTGAAAATGAAAGTTGGAAAACGCTTGAGCTCCAAATCTGTTTTTTTCCTAGCCTGAGATTAGGGGAAGAAATAGAAAACATCATAAGTGGATCCAATAATTTACTGGTCTCTTTAGTGATGTTGTAAAATTTAAATATAAAACCTAAAACATAAATAAAAAAAACTAAGCATAGCTATCTGTCAACTTTTGTGTTACTTGAGACTCCAATTAGTAGAAATCTTCAGGTTTGTAATCAGAAGATTTCACACAAAACACACTATGAAGTCTGATTCCTCCCCTAATCTTTTTATTTTCAGGAAGGTGGTGTGGCTTGTTCCCATCAGAGTTCAAAGGTCACATTAAGTGACAGCTCAGACAGCCACATTGCCCCTGCGGTGCTGTGACAGCATCGCAGCAATGCTCTGACGATGTTACAGTGATGTCAAGTCAATATGTTATGAGATGGCCAAAATTCAGAGGCATGGGAAGGGAAAATATATAAAAAATTCACTCACAGAGCTACCAAAGAGTGACTGACTGGGAGGGATGTAAAAGATTAATCGAAATGGAATCTGAATCAAATGACGTAATTTTACAACACAAGCACTGTCAAAATATACCTTCCACACACCCTGAAAGGCCATAAAGATCTGCTCATTTTTTGGTGTCTGTGAAACAGCTTTGTTTTTGGACAGACAGAAAAAGCTTCAGTGAGTCCACAGTTTATCCATGCAGAACTGAACTGCTGTTAGTTGCCATTCAACTAATTATCCCAGGTTAGAATCTGTGTCTGCATTTCTCTAGCATTCGGATCCCACACCATTTCTCCCCCAGCCCACCAGGGGGTGCTGCAAGCAAAGATGCACATATGAAAGAGCAGGCCCAAACTCTGGGGGCTGCCCTACCTTCTCCATGGAGTCCCCTGGCTGGGAAGTGATCACACCGTCACCGGGACCTTGAGGAAAACTGGCCTTGCAGTTTTGCAGCCACTAATGTAGAACACAAAGAACAAATTCTTTGTAAGTCCTTTTACTTAAGTTCCTTTAGTACAGTGTTTCTGAAACTGGTCATGGATTATCCAGGGTTCGTTGGAGTTTTACATGCACAAAAATGTTCTGAGGCCAGAACAAAAAATGGAACTAGCAACTAGAGGAGGTGGACCAAGACATCTAATTGGTTGGTCCCTCCTCCTCTAGTTGCTTGGATCCACCCTCTCTACAATCTGATTGGTTATCTCTCTGAACCATTTTTGTGCAAGTAAAACTCCCATGAGCTCATCCGTGGGTCTCCAAGGACCAGGTCGAGAGACACTGCTTTAGTTGACAATTAATTCAAATAATGAAAAACAGCCTAAAATCTCACACTTCATCCACTTTTACCAGCTATATAAACTACATACAGTGGAGTTTTCATTCAGCTTAAACTTGCAATATCTTGGGTCCTCCATAAGCAGGCTGGCCATCATATCACGAAAAATGAGAAATAATGCACTGAACACCTGCTGTAGGGGTCTGGAGCTAAAAACATCGCTTGTAATGTGGAGGAATAAATTGCAGGGATGTAGGAAAGTGATATAACTTAGTTATTCATTAATAAACTAGCAAAGCAGTTAAAAAAAACAGGCTGATTGATTTACTAACATTGGGAGATATTGTGAAGGTGTATATGGGTGGTTATGGAAGTATACTGGAAATTGCCGATACTGTTGGAGTGGGTGTATAGTCTGCCCAGTTTGCTAAATGTAGTGTGGAAAGGAGAAGAAAAGGGGTCCAACCGAAGAGGAAGATTAACCTAAAGAGAAGGTGCTGGATGTGAGACAAGATGTGATGCAAAACATCCGGTTATTTGAAGAACTGGGAAGCAGTGCAAAATAACTGCCGGAGTCAAAGAGTCAAGAAGTGATCTGAAGCGACGCGTGGACATGACTGAAATAGCTTCAGCGCCGTTTGCATATGAACTTTAGTTGCCAAAAGGAAAAAAAAAAAGCTATTGAATGTGGATGAGATCATTGTTGACCAATCAAAGTAAAATATATGGATGTGTCATGTGTCACTACAATCATATTGAACCTGTACCACTTGGAATGGATGTGAGCCACTCTGAGAAATGGTAGGTATGACTCCCTTCGCATGCAAAGCGAATAAAACCAAGCTAGTGTTTAAAGAAACTATCATCTTGCCTGCTGTTTAATGTTGGTTTATTTGTAACCGCATTAAGCAGGGCATGCTTTTTGCTTTAGTTCAACATATTTCAGGTCTGTTTAGGTGGTTCAGGTAAGTGAGCACAATGAAACAGAAAACAGTACTTCTGCGTAATGCTTCACCGTCTGACGTGGCAATGGGAAGGATGGTGAGGCCGTTTCTGTGGGATACCAATGATGACTCAGCACTTACTGAGATGGCTGCCTCCTCCCTGTTGTTGTAGGTGTCTAGATACTCCTGCAGCTCCAGCACGCTGAACTTCATCTTCTCCAGCAATCCATAAGAGATTATCTACACGAAGGGGACACTTAGTGGATCAGGGGGTCCCCGAAGCATCACACACACACAATGATACTTTAAGGGTCACTCACAGTGTCGGCGTCGACGAACAGGGCGGGGCACTCGGAGCATGAGGTTAACATGTGGGAGGAGCTCATGAACTTGGACCCGATGCCCCGAAGACTGTCTCCAAGGTAACCAGCAGCATCGCGGGTCAAAGAGCAGAATTTGTTCTGGATGTTCTGCATGAGGAAATGTCTCCATTGTGATAACATACTTAGGGGGTACCAATGGGGTCGGTCATTAGTGATGACCTTGCTTTATGAAATGACAGGATCATCTACAGGAAGCCTTCATTAGAATGTACTCCCCAAAAGCGGGGGCACATTGCTGAAGTTGTACAGTACAGTTTTGTTCTGGGGTTTCGTACCCATTAATTGAGTATAACAGAAGGATTTCTAATCACACCCCCTGTGCAAAATAACTGCCACCGTAAACTAAATACATCAAAAACATGAATGCACGCATGTGGACACAAGTATTATCATATTGCACAAGAGTTGCCTGCTAGTTCTACTGGCTCTGCTGGTCTGGGAGGAGAGGCGTGGCACTGATTCTTGTAAGACAAGTCATTTTAAGGGGAACCCCCACGTGCATACTTGTAACACCCTCAGAGGTAGAATACGCCAGTTAAATTATACATGTGATAAAATACGTTCTTATATGCTGAAAATTATACATGCTGGAAAAATGTGTGTCTAGTATATGTGAATTTGTAAATGACCCAGAATGACATAGGAGTCCTAGACCAGTGTTTCTGAAACCGGTCCTTCTGGGAGTTGGGAGGGAGCAAAAATGTGGACCTTCTGGGGGTTACTCAGGACTCAGGACTGGGTCGAGAAACACTGTTCTAGATACATCAGGTTGCATCACATAACTTTGTCTCAATCAGAGCCTGAAAAAAAAACATTGAGAACACATCACCTGAGCTTCAGAGGGGAGACGCCACGGCGACGTTACCTGGAAAAGCGAGGAGAACACATGGAAGGTGTAGACGGCGCAGGAGCCGTCCGAGTCAGACACCAGCCGGCTGATGTGGCAGCGCCAGGCTTCCTCGACGTCGTCACAGGCTGCTGGCTGGAAGGCGGCCAGGATGGCGGAGAAGAACGGCGAGGGCGGCGGTGAAGGCCGCGGGAACTCGTCACCAGCTTGCGCCAGGCTGCAGCTTCAGGAAAGATGGATAGATCGCGGGACCGCTCGATGCCACAAGAACGCCACTGCTACGCCATACTGCTACACTTCATCCTCACACTCAAATGCGGTGAAATAACCAGGGACGTGAGAACCAGGGGGACGTGGGGGGGGGGGGATGAGTACCCCTCAATATTAAACCCTCTCCCACACCACTGAAAACAACGGCGAAGTCCCTGTTGCTTTAAGCAGCTCAAAGAACATGTGTGGAGTGACAGTGATTCAATCCAGCTATAGTGCCACCATGTGGCTGTTTAATCACCCATTTACATTGATTTATGGGCACTTGCCACATCATTGTCGGTCAATAAATTAACAGTCAGTCAGGGGCTTGGCTCTGGGCTTGCACCTGGCATCCAGTTCCAGCTCTCCGTGGTTGCGGCCCTGCTCCACGTCCAAGGCAAAGCTGTCGCTGCCATCGAAGCCCGGCGGCGGCTCGCTGACAGACAGCGACAGGTCGTCGTCGTGGGCATTGCTGTCCTCGTCATCCGCCGACACCTCGGCCTGTGGGGAGCAGAAGCAGACAGCTTTACGTCGTTCAATCCCTCAATTCTTAACTGATGGCACTTTCTCATTGGGACTTAAAAATCTATGATTGCTGCATTGCCAAATTCATACACTGGGGGCTAAGGAACTTGCTCAAAGACTTAATGGTAAAATCCTTTTGTCAGCCCTGGGATTCAAACTGATATCCTTTCGATCACGAGCTCAGCCTCCTAACCCACTGAGCCACATCCCACCTTTTCCATTTTCCTTTTATTTTTCCTTTTTCAACATTCCAGAGAATGGGAATGCCGGCAGTCCAAAGCATCTGCTCAAACCCACGTGACACATTCAGCTCCCCCGCGCATTGCCGGAAACATTAAACTCTGGAATCTGAATGCATTTTTAAAGCAGTTGATAAAACTCCATCATCACACATCATTGATCCAGCTCCCATTAACTGTCATCATTCCCACCCACAGGTTTTAGCAAGTCTTCCTTTATCCATATGCCCCCCTCCTACACCGGCCCAGTACTAACCTGTGGCCCAGAGTCCTCCACCAGGGACACCTCGATGCTTGGGGTCCCGGTGTTGAGAGACAGCGGTTCGGCTGAGGTGGTGTCCAGAGACGGGGAGAGGGAGTCTGTGTTGGTGGTCTCCTCAGAGGGAGAAAGGTTCATCTCCTGCAAAAGACATGGGTCACCCTTACTGGAAAATGACTCCCACCTTCTGCAGGTTGTCTTACCCAAACAGAGGAGCACTCTTAGCAACAGACTGAGACAGTTGCACTGTCTATCTACTGTCTTTTCACCCAGACAGACACTGACATATATGAAACAGACACACTTACAGACACATAGACAAATGAACTTACGAGCTGAGATCGTGACAAGATTTGGCTGGTAGAGAGCGACTCTTCTTCCGAGGACTCATCTGAGTCCTCACGTGTGGTCTCCCCCAGCCCAGGGGGCCCCCCCTCTGTCTGGCCCTCCTCCAGCAGGTCCTGCAGGTCCCCACCATCCAGCGAGCGCCTCCGCACACCCCAGTTGAAGTTGTCCATGCTTTCGCCCTGTCAAAGACACTTGGCATCAACACCCAACCCTGTGTACAGGGGAGACAAATCTGGATCAAATGAAACAATTTCATTGGAGATATAGCAAGGATGGAATGGAGGTGCATCTGCCTCCACTAACCAGAAAGAGTAATGCACTGGGGAGGTGGTAGGAGAGGTGCTGGTGAAAGAAACTAGCTTTCACATATAGACTCAGCAACAAGGAATGGGTCTCTAATGTAACTGGGCATGTCCTCGGATCGGTGGAACTAGAGATTACTAAATTAAAATGATAAAATGATGCTTCCTGAACCATTTGCTGTATTTTCTGAGCCCACTAGATGGCGCTCTCTGTTTAAAAAAAAAAGGCTTTAAATCATGCCCAGAAGCAGGAGTGTCATGTACTGATGGTCAAAATTATGCTTCCTGAACCATTTGCTCTATTTTCTTAGCCTTCTAGATGGTGCTAGTCGGGTCAAAAAATACAGCAAATGGTTCATGAAGCATCATTTTGACCATCACTAGGTGGAGCTAAGGGATGGGGGTAGGGAGGTGTGGGAGGCTCAGCATGCAGCAGAAACACCAGGATAAACCATCTCTCATGCTGTCATGCAAGAACAGATAGGTGTGTAATGGATACAGAAGAATCACAAACAGGCAAAATGCACATGAATTATACAAGAAATAAATCCAGAATCCATCCGCTGGTAGCCCTTAGACTGAGTATCTGGCCCAGAAATGTTCATGGGAGTTTTATTAACACAAAAATGAAATCTTCTGAGGGCAAAATGATTGGTTCAAAGAGACTGTAGAGAAACTGGGTCCAAGCAACTAGAGGGACCAGCCAATCAGATGTCTTGGTTCCTCTTCCTCTAGTTGCTTAGACCCACCTGCTGTACAATCTGATTGCCTATCTCTCTGAATCTGTCATTTTTCCTTCTGCCCTCAGAACATTTTTGTGTAAGTAAAACTCCCATGAGCCCCAGAAACCCACAGGACACAAAGACACATCACACATCCTGAATAAACAAAAGGCAAGTTGGGAAGGTCACAGAAACGTTTCACATTGGGCATTCTGGGCATGCTTTAGATGACCCACTTGATTGGTTGTCGGTATATAGCTGCCTGTATGTGGTTGCCTTTGTGTGGCTGTCCATATTTGGCTGCCTATGTGTGGTTGTCGGTATATAGCCGCCTGTATGTGGTCACCTATGTATGGCTGTCCATATTTGGCTGCCTACATGTGGTTGCCCTGGTACAAACCCACAGCTTTTGGTTAAAAGGTGTTTATCTGTTTGGAGAGCCCTACATCATCAGTGAAATTTCTGCAGTCGTGCTAAATTCTGCTGACACACTCTAAGGTAAGACCACTCAGCCCATTTCTGCCTACTCTGCTGACTTGTAATAGAACTGAGCTCTGTCCAGAGTCCACTCAGCTGGCCTTTTTACCCTAATATGCCTTCTGAGAGCTCAGGAAGCAGGGACCTAATGATTCGCCTACACAAATTCTCAGCAATTGTTTACTGTGATCGCAAGTAATCAATGTTCCAACCGGCTGACTGGACACTCAATCCTTATTAGGCCAAAAAGAAAAAAACACAAATGCACTGTCATGCACAGGAAGGCCGCGCGTATGAGCTTGTGCCACTAGATGTCACTGTTGTTCAATTTTGCACTTAACATTGCTACTACAGCAGAAAACTCACCTGGAGCTCCTATGTTGGCACAAAACAGAAACAGAGAAAGAAGCTGCGTTAAACAGTGTCACTGAGGGCCAACTAGGTATATATTGCTGTTATTACTATCTATACAAAGAAATACTGTACACACACATGCACGGTTTAGGGAAAGTTACCTTATCCAGAAGAGACAAGTGGAATGAACAAGTAACTACAGAACACTCCTCTAATCCGCAAGGATAGCTTCTGTCTATCTAGCCTTACTTTTCTTCTGTGGTGACATTTGCTCTGCAGCAGTAATAAGCCCCCAACAACACTAAAAAGCCGCCAGTACAGCTAGCTCGCGCTCCACTAACATAAATGGGTCAAAATGACCATCAAAGCTTAAATCCTTTCTATATATAGTCACTGACCCGGGGATTTAAAGAACAAATTTCAGCTTATATTTAGAAAGGGGACTCAGAAAGCTGTTTGTAAGGCAGTCCTAATTAACATGCTAACGCTCCTCTCCATAGCAGTCACTGGTTTCATCACAATGGCCACTGCCTTGCTGACACGCTGCGTTCATGGAACACCTTGATGCTTGTTTTTGGTCTGTCTTGCGCAGTGTTACCACCTCTTGTTCTCTGAAGTACAATTGCTACCTTTTTTTTTATCTGACATTAAACTATCAAATCCAAGACGGTCTCCTTCATCTACTTATCATTGTTTCCATATAAAGCATGACCTTCTGACATGCTACAATGGCAGGGATCCTCAAGGGTTCCTTATTGGCTTTCAATCAACGGAGGCGGCCAATCAGGCTTTGCATTACTCTCCCTGGCAGCCCACCTCTCCGTCCTCCAGTTCCACGTCCAAGAAGTCGAAGTCCCGGAAGACGCGGAACTGCTGCTCGGAGGTGGTGTCATCCATGTTGTCCTGGTCCCGCCCCCCTTCCTCTGAGGACACCTGGCTGGGCTGGTGCTCCATCATATCCAGGTCTCCACAGGACGAGAAGATCACCTGTGCAGTGACAGCGGCAGTGGGGCGCTGTCGTCAATACAGCCATAATGATAACATTTTACATTGTTTGTGCAGATGCTTTTTGATTTGCCCTCAACATCACATTATATTAAGATCAGTTTTATCAGGCAGAAGAAAAGCAAGGTATTCCCCTACCGATGGATTTTTGCTGAGTCCCACTTCCTGTCCGCACAGAGAGAGAACGTTCACCAGCTTCTCCCGGGTCCTCTTCTGAGCAGAGAAAAAGAGAACACAGCAGTTAGATACTCCTCTGAGTGCTTTACTGTGTCTGAGTCATTTGCAGTGCAGGCATCAGAAGAACCTCACTCGCTTCAGCAGACAGCATGAAAAGAGACTGACCAAAGGTGACTGACTTAACTGGTCTTCCTGTGTACAACTTGAATTAGTCAATGTCACTGAGTAAATAGAGTAACACTGTATTTTTCTTATAATGGAATAAAAGTCTGAGATTCTCTGCCATCACCACACTGGACATGTATGTCACCTGCGACGACTGTGGCCGCTTCCAGCTGACCGGCACCAGCACGCTGTTGGAGTTGGATCCCGAGGACGTGGATGAGGTGCTTCGGGTCACTGCAATGGCCCGGGCCTTTCCATCCCGCCCTGCTGAGCCTTGCAGCTCATCGAACCTCCTGCCAATCACTGGCGTCTGCAAGGGGGGGGGGGGGGGGATGTTATTAGGGTTCATCAAGAAACACAAACATGAAACAGGCATGTTAATTTAAAAGTAAAAAAGAATTTTGTCTTGAGAAACAAGCCAATTGCTCAATTCCCTTCTGGATCTGCTCAGAACCTAATAATAGATCTCTGCCTTCCATAACTGGATCCACCTGCAGTCCATTAACAGAAAGCCCGCTCTGTTTTGCTGGAAAACCGCATGACATTTAGTTCCTTCCAAAAATACGGGATTCGGTCAATACAGCAGGAGGTCTGCTGAAGTCTCGAGAGACGGCCTCTCCAGGCTCAAATTAAAGGGGCACGGCTCACGTCATTCCCTGGAGCCAACGCAGTACCTGTTAATTAGCTTTCTCAGTCCTCCACTGAATGCTGGGACATTTTCCAGGACCCTTTAACTTCTACTAACACAGAGTGTCCATTCAGTATGATTCTTTTTTACGTCACGGAGGGCTCATTTTCCACTGGAAGTCTACTGAACACGGAACGTTGGAAGGCACTGCAAGCCCTCAGGAAAAGGGCAGCAACCAAGCAGGAATTGTGGACTCTGTCGCCTTGTGTAGCAGATCCAGTTTTGGTTTCTTGAAACACCTGAAATTTGTGGATCTGCGGGCTTTTGTTCGTCACGGCTGTGGGCGAGCGATAAGCACCTTGGTTCCAAAGAATCGCTTTGTTATTAGACTGACCGAGCGACGACGACGAATGACACCTTCCGCCCCGAGTGCTCTTCTGAGTCCTACCTCAGAGATGTCGAAATGGAAGTCCAGCGTCTTCCCTGGTAGGCCTTTGGGGGAACCGTTCCACATCCTCCCGACGTCCAGGCGTGCCGAATCACCATGGGGATAGGACGGCAGGGCCAGGCTAGCAGACCGAGACACCACCAGCTTCAAGATATTGAGGGCCTCCTTCCAGTGCACAGTCTAGGGCACAGGCATACACACAGAACACGCACAGACACACACCACTGGTTAATATTCTGTATTAACAAAGTAACCCAGGCTATCAAGTAAGAAGCCACTGTTACTTTGTATACACTTTATATACTTTATATACAACCACACACATAAGTTTTGTTTTTATTCAGGTGCTGTTTGCAGATTAATGAAGCAAGAATATAAGTGTTGAAACACCAAGAATGTCTGTAACTCAAATGTCAAATGATTCCGTATATTGCGTAATGCTGACACATTGCTAGCAAAGTTATTTGGGTGAATTCCCTTGTCAACCGCTACTTCAGGGGATTTTCACAGGAAATTATCAGTCTTTGCTAAGGACTGTCTTCCTGATTCCTTTTGTGGTTTAAAGACCTAAATCACAGAGATATTTTAGGTAATCCCACATTTTTACAAAAGGGCTCACTGATAATCGCATGCAGTGTTTGAGATACTGCTTTAAAACCACATTTATCTGAAACACATAATTAACTTCAGAGACAAAAAATGTTTGGTAAACAATGTTACGTAAAGGGTGTTGTCACCTGAGAAGATCTGAGAGAATTTTAAAGGGAATCACACACAGAAACTGGCTGAAGCACAAGTGACTCACCTGCACAAACTTCTCAATGGTTTTCAGCACCTCGACGTTAAACAGCTTGAATTGAATTCCAGTGAGGTCCATGTGACTCAGCAGGCTGTATATGATCTGCAGTAGCGGCTGTTGCATGCTGGGAAGTCCTTTCTCCAACAGCTGCCAAAATATCAGCTCTCAGTAGAGGGATTTTTCACAGTAGGGTTTGTGGGCTGTATGTGGCCAAACAAGTTGATGACTTTTTCAATGGACAGATGAGGATGAAGGTGACCACGCCTCACCTCTGCCATGTAGGTGACCATGTTGAGAGTGATGTCCGGAAAGGCTTCGTGCAGGTATCGGCACACCACGCTGACCCAGGAGAAGGGGTCTCGAGTGTATGAGTGCTTCTTATACAGCGTCATCACATGTGCCAGGTGTGACAGCTTGGTATTCTTCTCCTCCAGACACACCTGAGGAGCATTTGACACGACGTAAGTGTACCTCAACATGACGGCTGTCAGTAAGGTTCGAAACTGTCTGACTGACCTGAGCGATCCTCTCTGCACTCTCCCTGCAGAACTGGGTGGGGCTATCAAAGTGTTGGATCAGGTGCGGAAGCAGGCACAGGATGTTAAGTGGGAAACCTGCCACAAGGGGGTGCAGACGAGCTCGTCACAACATTTTAATTCCTTATTTCCTTTATGCGATTAAAGAAATAGCGATTGCCTGACCCCATAGTTATAAATTCCTTAGCAAATCACGTTGCAATAATCAGTATAAATACAGATTATTCTCATACATAGATGTTAACATAAAAAAGTTCTTCTACTCTAATATCAAGCCAACAACAATTTTTTTAAGATGGGGGGGGGCGTAGTCAATATAGAGTGGCCAACCTTATAATTAGCCAATAATATGGCTTGAATATCCTTTGACAGGGGAGGGGACACTCTGGGAGCCAATCAGCTTTCAGCTGAGCCTCACTGCCTCTGTGGCTCCGCCCCCAAATTAAGCACATTTATTATGGGAAATAGCACCGTGAGGCAGTGTGGAGGACCTACCAATGGCTTGGGAGGTGTCCACCACTGGGACACGGGACACGGGCGTGAGCTGGCAGAAGAGCTGCAGTGTGACATCGGCCGTGGCGGACGAGGTGAAGCCCTTGACCAGAAGCTGTTGGAGGCCGGGGAATCCGCTCCAACGCAGTTGAGCTTGCAGCTTCTCCAACCGGTCCCGGTTCTCAGGACGGTCCAGGGGCACACGAGCCAGAAGTTTGTGCACCAGCCGCAGGGCCATCTGGTACTCGAACTCAAAGTCGGACTCCATCAGCGACACCGCCACCCAGAAGGCGGTGGCCAGCAGGTTGCCGGGGTGACTGGCGTGGCTGGGGTCCCTGCTGAGAGCGGACGCCTCGTCCCTGGAGGAGGAGCAGGACGAGCTGCGGGGAGACCCCCCCGGCACGCCGCCCACGCCAAGCTGGGTGCAGGCCTGAATGCGGTCCAGAGTGGCACTGCGGGGCGGATCCGAGCCAGACTGCTCCCCGCTCTCCCCGAACTTCTTGGGCACTGAGTAGCTGCGTTGGTGGCGACTGCGCTCGGCCGTACTCCCCCCACCCTGCAGCAAATTCAGCTGGCCTGTGCTCTTTCGGTTGGAGTTCAGCTTCCCACACGCCTGGAACTCAGGAGAGGATGACCTGCACACACACACACACACACACACACACACACCACTCAGTGGCAAGTCTTATTCTGTCTCCCCTTACCCTACTCAGCGCAAGCTCTGGGTACAAAACTAATAAAGAAACTTGGATGAGTCTGGAGGGTCAAAGCAGGAAAACAACCTTGAAGTATCTGTCAGGTTACAGGGTCACGAGGGTTTGGAGCCTATCCCAGAAGCTGCAGGCACAAGACAGGACATAACCCAGGACCAAAAAGAAACCCCACAACAACATGGGGGGAACATGCAAACTCATGCAGCCATGGCGGAGACTCAAACCCTGGTCCCAGAGGTGTGAGGCAACAGTGCTAATTGTTGTGCTGGCCCATAGCAAAATATCTAAACTTTTCATTCTTAATTTGGTACTTTGGTCCAGAAAAAAGCACGTTACTTGAAGAGACACCAGCTGCAGTGACACAGACACAAAGAGAAGGGGCGCCGCACCTGGTCAAAATCATCAACAGCTCATTGTTCTTGAGACACTCCGCCAAGTTGTCTACCACAGCCTCCAGAGTGAGGAGGATCTCCATCACGTAGCCCTGGAGCACACAGACGTACAGAATAGTGAGGCACATGTCTGACTGGCACCCACACCGAAGCCGATCTGGGAGGTCTTACTTGCACCTCGTCCCCATGTTCCCCGACCACCTCCACCAGGCGGGACAGCAGGTCCGACATGCCGCGGGCCGAAAGCGGCTGCCGCAGCGCCCGGAACATCTGGAAGGAGCGGCCGGCGTAGTGGCGCGAGGAGCTGCACAGGGCCGTCTGCAGGGTCACGTCGCTCAGCTGCTGCTCCAGGTGGAAGTCTGGGGTAGGGAGGGGCGAGGAGGGCAGCTTCAGGACAGGACACTGGGAGACGGGGCCTCCAGGGGCCCCAAACGCGAAACCACAAACGGCAGGACGCGCCCGTCAGAAGGAGGGCTGGCAGGGTCACCTGACTTGGACTCCTTGAAGACTGAAACCAAATGACGCAGGAAGTTGGACAGCTGCTCTGCACTCTTGGAGTTGGGGTTGCGGGGCGAGATGTCCTCGTGGCACCAAAGTGGCCCAAACGTCCTACAGGAGAGAGGACGATGATGGAGACAGTCCCCAGAAGAACTACTTTGGGTCATGCCAAATGCATGGTGGTAGGACAGTGTGGTCCCTGAGGACACTTTCTCAGACTTTTTATTTTTATATCATTATTGGTTTTTTGTTGCCTAGCCGACACTTGTTAAGCAATATTCATTTTTTCTCTCCTCGTTTGTAGAACTGCATATTAAATATGGGATACCCCCCACCCCTGGCCATCGATTTGCCAAGTGGGAGGCAAAATATGACACAGCATTTTATTTTGCAATACAGGACAATCCTGTGATATATGGAATGGGTGGCAAATCCTCACATTCAATTTTACATATTCAAGGGCCCTTGTAAAATGTTGCCCCCCCCTGAACCTGCCAGGGCATCCATGCCCCTAATGCACCCCTGGATGCAACAAGATGTGTACTAGGATGGACCGTCGTATGCCTCTGAAGACCTGCTACCTTGTGGTGAGGAACTCTATAAGTTTGTTGGTCTTCTCGATTGACTCGGTGGAGGACTCCTCCAGCTCCTCCAGGTCTGGGGAGATCTGAGGCAGCCCCCCCCCACTGCTACTGCCTCCCAGACTGAGGCTTGACGAGGTGGAGGATGAGCTCAAGCCTGAGTCTACGGCCGGCGATGCCTGGCACTCCCGCAGGAAGTCAAAGCCACCTGGACAGGAAATCGATGACAGAGAAAGAAGGACAATAAAATAGTGTCTTTTTTTGGGACACGATGTATTTTCTGTGCATGCTAAGGCTTGTAGGCTGTCACCCATATACAAGTGTATAAGTATTTCAGTTCTTGTGTCTATCTATCTATCTATCTATCTATCTATCTATCTATCTATCTATCTATCTATCTATCTATCTAATCTTCATCTGTTGTCCCTGATCTTAAAAAGGCAACCTAAAATCAGAATAAAATAGCTTATCATAAATTACACATAGTAATAATATACAGTACATACATAATAAATACCCACACCAAATCAATTTAGGTTGCTATTTTCTTTGGTTAGACCATGAGGGCTGCTACCTGTGTAGAGGTACTCAGGCTGGTAGCTAGATCTGACAGTCAGTGTCCTGCTGCCTCCCATATCTCGGGAGAGCAGGAGCACCGAGGCGATGACCTGGAAGCTGTTGTTGCAGGAGAGCGTGATGAGGAGGTGCAGAAGGAGGCGCTTGCTGTGCTCGAACACCTCTGGCCGGTAGTGGTCCAGGCCTGTTCGGGTAAGAAGCAATGTCACATGGCTGATCACATGATAACAGATTGCTGTTTGATTGCAGAGACCGTCAATGCAATGACGGCTACGTAAAGTACTAAGGTCCTCATTATTAATACAGTATTTACAGATTTGCATGTACTCGGTTTACTATTTCTCAGAGCAAACTGGGAAAACTGGAAACATATGTACAAATCAATAGCAAATGCAAACAGCAAATGCTTCACATGCTCCAGGTGAGAGATAAGGCTCCCAGATCTTCGTCTGCGCTATGAACAGCATGCTGAGGAGATAAGCTCAGGGCAGATGATGGTTTTCCCTTTCAGCTGGAGGTGGATAGTTTAGGTCAAGAAAGTAAAAATCCAGACCAAGATTTTGTTTCAACCAGCCAATTGGTTATAAAGAGTCACAGTCACAGAGTACTCAACAGGTTGGTTGAAATAAAATCTTGGCCTGGATTTTTACTTTCTGGACTTGAACTATTCACCTCTGCTTTCTGTCTATTCTTTATCTTACCTACAAGCACATTTTTAGCATTTCTGCAAGGCATCACACAGCCAAGAAAGTGCCTGATCTATAGCATGTAATATCCAGGGCGGAGATGTTCCAAGTCCAAGCAAAGCACTAATCTCCAGCATCTCGCAGGGTTTGTGTTTCTACTGGCGAGCTCCTACACGGTTGGCACCTCAGCACAAAAGCGTTTCGCCTCTTTTAACTTAAAAGAGGTGAGACAGAGATGATGGTTGTTATGGAGGGGAGATAAAAATATTGCTTTACTCAACAGGCCAACCATTCAAGCCAGTGACTTTTTAGCACATTCTCTGTTTGCTTGTATTGTGTGGAAGAAGATGGAGACGTACCCAAAAAGAGAGCATGTAAGAGCAGTGGCAAGTGCAAGGCCCAGTCCTCCCTTACACTGTGGTCGACCACCATCTCTGTCATAAAGATGACTGCAATGTTGCACCTGCAGCAAAAGGGGGCGCCCTTTAACACAGGAGTTCAAAAATAACAGCTCTCTACGTGTTGTACTAAAAGGGCTTAGTATTACACGTGTGCAGGCATTTACCTGTGTAGAGGTGATCGTGAAGAGATGGTCTCAGGCAGGTAATCCACCAACGGTGCCCAGCACCCCCCATTTGTTGGCATGGGTAACGGTTGTGGCAGATTGCTCTCCAGCACACTCAGCAGCCACCCGGCATAAGGCGGCAGCGGGTCACCTGATGAAAGGGGGGCGGGGCCAGGAGAGAAGACCGGGTTTGCACAACGGAAAATCTCTCCTTCCAGCCCTTAACTTTAAAAGCCTGGACACACCCTCCTGGGCTCTGCAGAAAGCAGCTGTCACATTCCTACCCCTAGTTCAGGGAAAATCTTTCAACAGATGCAAGAGAAAGAATTTGTTGCCATGACGCTGACTTCTGACAAACATATCTGGAATATTTGCAAGACTTAAAAAAAAAAAAACTATTATATGACACATCACTTGCACACAAGAAACTGTAAAACATGTTGGCTGCTCAGCGTGTTCTTGTGGGCAGAAATGAGGGGACGCTCACTTTTCTCATCATCATAGGACCCCCCAGAACTGTTGCTGTTGCGAGATTCCAGTCTGTTGTGGGCCTTCACCACACTAGAAAGCCTGTAAGCACATGCAAAATAAATAACAACTAAACTTCTGCCTCATTGAAATAATATGCAGTCATTTTATATTTATATTTTATATTTAATATATTAATTTTTTTTTTTATATTAATTTTTTAATATCAATTGTATTATAATTATCGTTTATTTGAATCTGTGTCTTAATGTTTCTTGTTTACTTATTTTTTATTAAATTAAATTACATTTTATTTTGTGATTATTCTGTGAAAAGAGATTTATAAATAAACCTTACTTGCTTACGTAGCCCTTTGAGTAAAAGCAGGTCTTTAGATTATCAATCAGGCCACTAATTAATTACAGAAGCTCCACTCATCAATAGGACTGCGGGCCACACCTCTCCTCCGTCTCCCGGGCCACTTTGGTCTCGTCTGTGTCCGGTAAGCTCTCCTGTCCGGCCAGAACCGTGTTGCTGCTGGACGTCGTGCCTGGAAACGCCAACAAACACGTTTCTCACACTCTAAGCAGACAGCCTCATCATTACCTCTCATGTGGATTGTCCTAGAACATCTGGCTTTAAAATCCCAGCTTGCTGCATTTTTTTTTTAAACTTATTTTTTCCATTTGCATAATACTGGATGCTTCATGTAAAACAGCCATATAATGGCATATACAGTACTGACCATTATAATAAATTATGAAGATATTTATAGTGCATTACAGATGAGAGCTTCATGCAGCATTCATAATACATAGTAAATATGTGTATATGTTATGCCTTTTTAAAATTGTTATAGCTGCGTTTATAATACTTTATGAATGCATTATAATGCATTATGAAGGTACCTATAATGCATTATGATAACTGCTTTAAGTGTTACCAATTGTTTCTTGGCAATTTGATTGACAAGGCATCTGCCAATGAAGCTCACCAGAGGCTGCTGCCGAGGCTTTGTTACTGGCCGCAAAGCGGTAGAAGGGCGGGTTGTCACAGTGCAGCACCACTGGGTTCACAGGGTCCGTCTGCTGCAGTTCAAACAGCAGCTCCTCCATGGTTTGGATGGTGTTGTTCCTGCACAGGTAGATCACCACCTTCTTGATCTGTGATGAGAAGGATTCCATTTTATTCTGGTGCATAACAACAAGGCAACATCTTTAGTAACTTTAACCATGGTAACGAGTGGATACTTTCCATATCTGCAACAAGGGCATGATCTTATTCAACACCATAGCAACGAGAACAAAACTGCACCACGGTAACAAGAGCTACATCCTAGTTACCTTTAACGAGATGAACGGCATCTTATTGCACTGCAGTTAGGCAGATGTCATTAGACTGCCTTTTTCCAGAGGGCAACATGTTCTTCAGACTTACGTGGGGCAGCAGGGTGGTGTCGCTGCTGACGCCGCACAGACTGGTGAGGAACTGCAGGGTGGTGCGCAGGTTGCTGTTCCACGTGTCGTTGCTGACCAAGGCGTTCCAGGCATTTTCCATCTCCGGGCCCGGAGCCTCATCGCCGTACTGCGGGGAGACGTGGAGATCAGCCTGCCATATTACTATTAAACTCATCTTGTTTGAAGCTATTTGAGTTGCCAGGAATTGTAGAGAAACTGCTGTGGGGGGGAAAGACTCATGAACTCTCTCTGCCAAGCCATTAACCCCCCCAGCAGTGCGATTCCTGGCCAGACACCAGCGAAGGCCCAAATATAGCTCCTCTCCTATGATTAGAAGGTTGTAGGCTCAAATCCCTGGTTTGGCAGAGGGCTCTTACAGCTGGGGGCTGTCTAACTCTGCCTTCTCAAAATTCTCTTGGTAATTTCTTTGGATTAAAGCATCTGTCAAATAACTAAAAATATTGTGGTATTTTAAATGAAATTACCAGGCATAAATAGACCAAATATAGGCAATTTACTGCCCCCAAGTATCAGGGTTGAGAATCCTTGTACCTCAGGTCGAGTCAGTGACTGTCACACACACATGCTCTGCAGCCATACCTTGGCGGTCATAAACATAAGGTTGTTGAGGACCAGCGAGGTGGCCTGCAGTGAGCCCCAGCCGCTGCCCTTGAGCCAGTGTGTGAGGCCCAGGCTTCCGGCCTGGATGTGGGTCTCGTCCTCGGGGGTACAGGGGCTGGAGGCCGGCAGCAGACCGCTGTCCACCAGTTCGATGTTGTGAAGCCATGGCAGAAGATAAGTGAGCATGATCTGGCGACCATTGGGGTGGGTGGTGGGGAACCGCTGGCTCACCTCTATGAGCGTGGGGGGGAGGGGGGTGGAAATTGATGACAAAGTCATAAAACCCAATAGAATGCATGACAAGTATGACAGAACCTGCATCTTCTGGATGGGCCGGAATTCTATGTAGCCACCAAAGACAGACGAATATGGGTACCTGAGAAGAGCGGTAGTGTGAGCTGAGGATACATCCTGGCCAACTGGCTGGAGAGTTGGGCCAGGGAGACACTGTACAGCGGGGGCAGGGGACCGTGGGTGCCGTACAGCACGCTGTTGGACCTCTGTTCCATGATCTTCTTGGAGTACACAGAGAGCTTCGTCTCCAGGATCTGAGGTGAGCCGAACAGTGGGGGGGGGGGGGAGGTTCTCTTTTAATTTTCACGTAACAGATGCCGCTTAAGACCACTTTAGACCAGTGTTTCCCAACCCAGTCGTTGGGGGCCACCAGACAGCCATACTTTTGCTCCCTCCCTGAACACACCTGTCTCAGGTATTTGATGTTCTTGATTGTTTGGTTCAGGTGAGCTGAGAGCTGGGAGGGAGCAAAAATGTGGGCTGTCTGGGGGTCCCTGAAGACCGGGTTGAGGAACATGCTTTACACATTAATCACCATGAACAATGAAGCACCTGCATCTTTGTGAAGTGACTTGCATGTGAATTGCTAACTGTCATATGACATTAATTTTGTAATGAATTATTGCTACACTGGAGAACATAGCTTTTAGCCTGTAAAAATGCATCGGTTATTCCTGCTGATAGATACACAAACAGACACCAATATATGGCCTAAAACCAAACAAGAGAGCTATTTAACATCTATGGCAGGGCTCTTCAAATCTGGACCTCGATTCCAAATCCGGGCCTTGTTTTCAGTTCTCCCAGGTAGTTAGTTTAATGATTACTGACTCTAATTGGCCACAGAGGCTTCACACCTGGCTCACAGGTAAAGGAAGGCTGGGAAATCAGCGGGGCTCGGCCGCAGAGGACCATAGAGGGCCGTAGAGGACCGTGAGGTGCATAGCTCTGATCTATGATAATTCCGTGTATGAGACAGTCATCCAAGCCAGTTTGACACACCTGCATCAGCTGCATTGAAATCTCATAGATATCCCTGTTGGTGTCTGAGGACTTAAAAAGCACCAAGTTGAGAAGCGTAACTATGTCACACGGATAGTTTCTGCAAGAGTAAAAAAAGGGGGGTTAGAGATGAGCAGATACCATAACGTCCACAAACATCAGTTTGGTTTTTGCTCCTTTTAAAATGTTGTACTAGTATCCATGACATTCAAATGTTCATTTTTGCCCACATTATCAGCATGTGGTGTTTGCCTATATTACTTTGGCTATTTGTAGGTTCGAAGAACAGTCAACTGCATCTTGACTGTCTTGGGTTGCACCCTGTGATTTTTTACTATGTCATGGATATAGAGTATATTGGTGGTGATTCTATAATTGTTTAAGGTGGGGGGGGGGGGGCAATAGAGGGGCCAAGCTTATAATTAGCCAATAATATGTTTGAAATTGGTGAGTGACAGGGGAGAAGGCACTCCAGGGACCAATCAGCTTTCAGCTTGAGCCTGTACCCCAATGGTCCCACCCCTGTGTATGCTCCTGAGCGAAACGTGTTAATGAGCATACTCTTCCCCTTATGTGCTGGGGAGCCAGAGAAGGCAGAACCGTACCTGCTTCCACAGACCGTAGCAATGGCCTTGAAGCAGCCTGAGGCAAGCTGGTAGGAGCCTGTGAAGCAGCGATCTACTGCCCAGTTAAAGAGGTTAACTTGGTCTGGGTTGAGCTCCAGGAGTAAGACCACCACCTCACAGCCAAGTCGGTGAACCTATGTCACAGGTGGAGAGAAAGTGAATAACTCAGAAAGTATCTCGAAGCTTTTATTGAGAGTCTGAGTAAGTGACACTGGACTATACGGTGGGGTCTTTACTGCAGTATGACAGCTGGCAGTGGTCTTGTATCATCAGAGCGTCTACATGCAGCAAGAATGCCCTTGGGGGTCTGTTTTCATGAAAATCATGGCCGCATACAAACCCGGAGGTCAGGGCAGGCCAGGATGTTGTCCAGCCACTTGTACAGGTATCCGTCCGGTGAGAGGCCCACGTTGTCGAACACGGGCCCACAGCACAGCACAGCGGACATGGCCTGCGGAGAAACACGCGTGGCGTGTAACGCTTATGCAAACATGCCGGTACGTGCATGCGATACACGCACAAACCGCGGGGGTCTCAGGGAGAGCTGAAGCGCGACATCACTGCAGCTACGCGGACTTGTACAGACCAGGGAGGACGAAAGTCGAACATGAAGAGGACAGTTTAATGTCTAAGATACACACCGCAGTTCCATGGGTGTGGTCCACTGTGTTATACAGTTAGAAACACTGCTGGAAATAAGCTTTTCGGCAAATGAAGTACTAGGGCAGGTGTAAACTCAGTATGGCTCGGGCAGACTGCAGTCATTCTTATATTTTCTGTAATTTTATCACACCCAGCAGGGGGGGGGTTTCCCCCTCCTCTGTTGTCTTCTAGCACTCTTTCTTTCCATATTCCCCTTTTCCCTGATTAGTGCACCATCTTAGTAATGGACTGCCATGGGGCGACTTTCTTATGAAAGGTGCTATATAAAAACGGGAGATTTGGATGGAGTGTCCGAGCTGCCCCGTGGGATTGTGGGATTGTGGGAGGGCAGAAGGCGGGGCTACCTTAAGGGCGCAGTACTGGTAACGGGTGATCTGGTGATTGCGGTCACTGTATCGGTCCAGCGGGGTGAACATGACGCTGAAGGGCCCCGCCCACTGGGAGAACAGGATGAAGAGGTGGTGCCGCAGGCTCGGCTGGGGGAACAGGAAGCGGCGGTGGTGGACTGGTGGGGGGGGGGCATGAGGGGCGTGTCAGTGACATAATGACCAAGACACACAAAGGAACACCCACAAGTCAATGTAAAGAAACCGAATCCTTCTAATTGGAGCTAATATCATTATTCTAATAAGGGATTCGTCTTTTTCTTTTTGTAAACAAAAGCTGCATCTTAGAAATATGTGGGCTCAGATCTTGGTTTCTACAGATAATTGATCCAAAAAAGGAACATTAATGGTACTGTGACTCATTCCAGCTTATCTCTAAACACCCATTCAGTAGCGTCAATCCAGGTAAAGGAGGTCCCTGAAAGGAGCGGCCCCCGTTGCCTCGGTTACCGGGGACACACTGGATGAGGTTGGCCACCATGCCGCTGAAGTGAGCCCGGATGTCCTTCAGGATCTCCACGTCCTTGTCGTTCTCGGCCTCCAGCAGCATGCGCGTCAGGTCCACATACTCCAGGAAGAGGGCCCCCAGGGCCAGGGTGTCGCGTTCTAGGGCCCCGCTGGTGCTGCCCGAGGCAGGGGGGACGTCGGGGAGATCCAGAGGAACAGGCATGGAGTTAGTCAGGAGGAAAGATAAAGAGATGCAGGACAGAATTCATATGACTGTTACTTTCAATTATACCACAGTGCTGCTGAATTCTCAAATCTTATTGTTCAGAAGGTTGTAGATGGATTTTCTATCACCGCACATATAGTGCCAGTGAGATGAATCACAGTAGCAAATTAATGCCCTATTATAAAACAAAGGGCTAATGACTGGCTTATGGACTTAACAGACAATTTTCAAATTAACAACACTGCCTTGGGTCGTATCTGAGCCAGATGTGTAATCAGTGGAGGACGAAAGCAGTTCTACTAATAAATGCGTTTTCGACTCATAAACGTGAAAAGTGTCTTTAGGTATAAAGATGAAAGCCAAATGTGTTGTAACCGTGGTATAAGTAGGTTAATGCACTCCAAGCTGCGCATTGTATCTTTTTAAATGTACTCTGCAGCAGCCGCAGCCATGCGTTTAGAAACGTATAATGCATTGCTTGTCGTCCATTAACCCTTTCACTGGGTCATGGTGAGGCTGAGGCCAGTTTTAGGATGCACAGGGACATTCCCTCACAGGGTACTGAGAACTTCGAGACACCATCCCAACTGAAAGGCACCCCTCTGACACTCCCCTGGCCCCCTTCTGCCGAAACACATCCACACTCACCAACACCCCCCTACACCTGAACTGCCAAGAGCCGAACAGAGACACTGCCCCCCACCCTACCTGTCACTGATGACTCCAGAATCTGCCAGAAGCTCAAAGATGCGCAGCAGCTGCAGCCGCAGCAGATCCCGCCTCTCACGCCGTTTCTTGTTCTGGGGCACAAACGACCAGGGAAACGGATTTGCGGCCACGAACGATCAGGGACGCTAAGTTGTGATGGACAAAATAATGCTTCATGAACCATTTGCTGTATTTTTTTACTCCACTAGATGGTGCTCTATGTTTTACAAAAGGACACAAAAGCATGCCCCAACACAAACCAAGATCACCATTTAGTGGGGTCAAAAAGTACAGCAAATGATTCAAGTAGTGTCATTTTCCATCACTAGCGATAAGGTAGATCTGACTAATTACAACCCTTAACAAATACACCCCAAATTCAGGAACCGCAGAATACATAACTAAAAGATGCATACAGGCTTTTGAACAGCAGATAAAATTAACCCAGGACTCCTTACCTCTGGTCTTCGTTCCAGCGCCTCCTTCATTAAAGGGTGGAGCTCCTCCACCAACTCCCTGCGTGGAGACAGGGTATTATGACAGTTATCACATCCTGGGACAGGGACATACTCTGTCCTCATTGGACATCATGTATCATGCATCATGTCAAATTCTCGTAGGAGGAGCTGGTAGATGCCAATAACAGGGATGTGGGTAGGAAGAACATATGTATACAAGAATGTGTTTATCTTTTGTACTTCATAATGATAAATTTGTACTTAAACAGCCTTCAGGTTGCCAGTGTCCCCTGACAACATGATCAGACACAGCAGAAAGCCAAAGACAAAAGGGAAACACCCCACAATAAAAATGAAGGAAATCTGGCCATTTTTCCCTTCGAATTTAATTCTTGTCAAAGCACGCTGATGATGTTTTCGGGGAAAATTACAGTGCAGACAAAACACACTGCTTCCCTGCCTCTGGATCTCACAGACTCACAGCACAAACAGATGCTTGGGATGCCAACCATCCCAACGGCGAGAAGAATGCTGTGAACATGGGACCAGCCTCTCTCCAGGAAGATTTGGAGACACCCGTTTCCTGCCACCGCAATCAAACCAAAACAGTCTCCAGCAGGCATGGACCGGCCCTCGAGACGGCTCTGGAATTTGTGAGGGCTTGTCTTTCTCCCCCAACCCTGGCATTACACAGGCTATATGCCAGCGGTGCCAGACCTGCCCGACAATCCGGGCATGTTTACAGGTCACCCGCAGGAAATGATTGATGAATACTGCTTTCTTTCATCATTGGCTACCAACCAGATGACTGCAAAAGGGACCCCCCCAAATTTCTGGGCTGCTTTTTGCTGCCAGCCTGCCCTTGGTCTCCAGCCTGGTTGTATCCCCTACAAACCACTCAGAACAGAATTTGCATCTTTCTGCCAGAAGAGGCAGGACGCCACACTTCGTTGCTGTGGTGGCATCCCCTAGCAACATGCTAGTCATTCACAACAGGCTGGCTTTCCATACAGAGAAGATGCATTTTCTCTGTCCTGAAACTAGGGAGGGATTGGGGATGGGAGCCATTAAGGATGGTGGCCACAAGACGCAAAGCTTGCCAACAAAAACAGGAACACAGATAAATGATAGGAATGAAAATATAGGGTCACCGAGTTCACATTTCCATCTCCAGCAAAGGGGAGCCAAAGTGCAAACTCATTAGGCATTTTGCCTGTAGACAAAGGCAAACGCTACCTGAAGACCAGCGCGTTGGTACGGCCGAAGCCCAGCACCAGCGACTCTGTGAGGTCGATGCTTTCCACCCTCATCAGGGGAACCAGCTGCTTGAGGAGCCAGGCCACAGACGGGGTCCCCATCACCTGCTCCGTCACATGACAAGGGAGAAAGGGGCAGGGGGATGTTCACAATAAATCACCTTTGCACTTTGGGTATTCCATAGGTTATACGACGCAATAGGCACTCTCATTTACTCTATTTACTCTAGGCTATGCTCCACAGAACACATTAAACACCACACTTCCCACATCCATTTCTCCACATTTACCATGATCCATACTCTATTGAAACACACATAGGTGAATAGTTCAGATCCAGAAAGTAAATATCCAGACCAAAATTTCATTTCAACGAGTATAAAGTTGAGTATAAAGAATTACAGTCACAGAGTAATCAACCGACTGGTTGAAATAAAATCCTAGTCTGGATTTTTACTTTTTGGACCTGAACTATCCATCTCTAGAAGCATGTAACACAGTCTATTCTAATCTATACATTACATTACACAACCTTCATAGGTAGATCATTCATAGAGCTAACATTTACAATCTTTTTCTGTTGATCAGTGAGTACTATACCTGTTAGGGAAATCGAATGACAGACAGACAAACAGACAGATAGATAGATAGATAGATAGATAGATAGATACTTGGTTCCAGAAGGACATTTAGGCATCCAGTAGTTCAAATACAAACAAATGCACACAATTACACACACAGTAACTTTATTCATGCCCTTGGGGAAATTCAGGTGTCCAGTTGCTCGATAACATTGTGAAAAAGAAAAAAATAATAAATACATAAAATATTTGAACATTGTTGAAAATGATTAAAAGCCTGGAAAGCAAACATAAATTAAAAAAAGCTAAACAGTACAGATGGGTCCATTGTTACAGTGTTGGAAGAGCGAGTGGTGACCAAGTCATGAATCCCTTTTGTTGACAGCGGTATAATAAAATCTCACAGCCATAGGAACAAATGGTGCTCTAACCATACATGTAATAACCATACACACTCAGTCTGTAGTCTATGATTCACAGGTATATCTAACTCCTAGTATGTGCTATTTGGTGGCGGGGACAGACCTTGTTGTCGTAGCTGATGCTGCCGTCAGGCGTGGTGGCCATGATCTCGGGCGTAGAGGCACGTAGGTGTCCCGAGCTCATGATGCTGGGCTTGGCCACGCCCAGGCAGAGGATCAGGTAGTTCCTCCACAGGCTGACGTAGGCGTCGTTGCTGCTGCCTGCCATGCTCGCCCGCTTGGCGTTCATGGGGCTGCTGTTGGACCCGAAACATAGCCAGGCTCAGCACCCCTCCACCAAACTGACCACCGACACCAACCCTAAACGGTCACTCTCACCGAACCACGACTGTGATCAGAAAATCAGATTGCAGTATTTTCACTACAATTCTGTGCCTAGAAAATGCCAGCTGACTAGTTACATTAGCCTGTTAACTGTAACCTGTCAGAAATCATAAGCAAATTTGAAAAAATTAGAGGGATAAACAGGACGTTTCTCACAGTAAAGGCGTAATTAATTAAATAGCCAATTGTAATGCTGCAGGATATTCTTTAGACAGCTGATGTGTTCATCAAAAACAACTTACAGACTGAAAATACTTATTAAAGATGGATAATTCAGCTCAAAGACCCATCGCTACAAAAGCAGGACATCGCCTATGACAGGCAGGGGACTCTTCAGCCAATCAGACTTCTAATTCAGTGTTTACTAATCCTGTCCTCAGGGAGCAAGAAGCTCGGCGGGAGCAAAAACATGGACCGACTGGGCTACCCAAGGACCGGACTGGGAAACACTGCTCTAATTAGTAATCATACACGACGGCCCTTTCTGGATAACACTGGCCATCCTGGCCGTTAATCTCACATCCTTAAGCAGGCAGTTTGGCTCCCACTCACTTGGGGTCCACCAGGGGCATGAGTAGCTGCAGGCGGGTGAAGGCATATGGCCAGGCGTAGCCCAGCGCGCTGGGACACAGCCTCGGCAGGTTCTCCTGGCGCAGGAAGCTGTACAGGCACAGCACCCAGGGGTCCTTCACCGATTGAGCGAAGATCCACACGTGGGAGGGGCTTCTCACGTCGTAGGGGCTGCTGACCAACACGGCGCTCCACTCCACCAACCATTGGAGATCCACATGGTGGCCTAGCGGCTGGCTGGCCTGCAGGAGGCGCGGGAGGGTGGGGGGGTCAGAGGCGGTCCTACTCCTCGTGATAAACCCTGCTCTACTTCTATAAGCTTTGAAAGAAGCGAGAGAAGCACAGAGGGCTGCCCACCGAGTCGGACGCTGCCACGTGGACGAAGCTCTCCAGCACTGCAGAGCTCAGCTGGTCCATGACCTCGATCATGGGCTTATCATCATCCTGCGTGGAGAAGGAAGAGTGTGAATCACAGTGGCTCCCAGCTCAGGTGAGAAGCTGTTCATAACCTACATCACTCCTCTATAATTATAAATCTATAAGAAATGGGACCACAAAGCTGCGAGCATCGTTATGACGATCTCAGTATCATTATTGTTTGACATGTCCATCTTTCACCAGTTTATCCTAGTTGGGGTCACAGTGGGACTGGAGTCTATCCAAGGCAGCATAAAGGGGCACACACACACACACACACACACACACACAGAGTCCTGTACTCATATCTTTGTGGGGACCGACCATTCATTTCTATTGGCAAAACACTATTGCCAACAATAACAACCTTAACCCCTACCCAGCCTTAACCATAACCAAACAAAACAAGGCTACTGAAATTTTTTATTTTCTGATTGCAGTCACAGATTTTTATAAAACTGAATTCACAATGGGCATTTTAAAAACGCTACTTAGCCTGACTGCAGGGACTGAGAGGAAACCGAAGTGCACATGGCTTGGGAAAACATGCAAACTCCACACATAGAGTGCAGAGGCAAGATTCAAAGCCCGAGTCCTGTTGTTGCAGGGTGACAGTACTACCCAGCGCTGTGGGTACTGTGCCGGCCAACATTCCAGTTAATTAACAACTGTTTACATCAAAAGTAAACAGCTATGTAATTCATTTATTAGCTTGTAAGCCCACATCCTTAATCGCAACACTGCACACGACTTCACCCAACAGGAAGCCCCCCCCCCTGCTCACCTCGGTCTGCCCAATGATGGCGAAGAGGCATCGGACCTCGCGGAGGACGGCAACGGCCAGCTTTCGGGTGCCGGTCTGGCAGGAGCAGAGCAGCACCAGAGCCAGACCTTCCACAGCATGTAGCACAGCACTGTGGGGCCCCCGGTCCATGTGGGGGCGGTGTCCAGAACCACCCTGGTGTTAGGATCGGGGGAAGGGAGCTTTTCAGAGGCTCTACCCAAGACCAAACTACAGGATACAACACCCATTAAAACTAGTTAACAAGCCTGTCTATTAAACCTCTACAACACCTAATGTTTGTAGACACTGGGTATGTATAATATGGTCAGCCAAGGCCATTGCCAACCATAATTTGATCAGCTATTCCTTGCCTTGAAAGGTCACAGAGATTATAAGGGGTTTCTTTCCTCTAAACCAATGTTTTCCAGTCCTGTCCTCGGGGGCCCACAGACAGTCCACGTTTCTGCTCCCTCCCAGCTCACAGTAGGAAGGAGCAAAAATGTGGACTGTCTGGTAGGGAATTCGAAGGGAGCAAAAACATGGACCAACTGTGGGTCCTGAGGACCGGATCGGGAAACACTGCTCTAAACAATCCAAAATGAGTTCCATTATGGAAAGAATTAGTCCAGTCAAGCACCAAAGGACCAGCTGGACCTTCATAGGCACCTGTCTACCAGACCCCAGAACAGATACTAATAACTCATCAAAGGTGCAGCAATGTAACCAATGGGAAGTTATCTGTCAAATCTGTATAAGTATTGGGTCGTTGCTACGTTGGGCACGCTGGGTGAATGTTGCTTCCACATGGGCTCAGCGAGTACCTCAGCAGCACGGGGCTTGCTGGGGGCCTGCATCAGCAGCCTCCACTGTGCCAGCAGCTGCAGCAGCAGCTTGACAGTGGAGGCCAGCAGGCCGTGGTGGGTGTCCTGCACCTCCCGCAGCAGGAAGCCCGTGAAGCCGAAGAGCACGTCCTCACGCCACTCCGGCACGTCCAGGAGCAGGCTCTGCAGGGAATTCTGGGCGATCAGGCGCAGCTCGTCGTCCATGTGGATGGTCAGCCTGAGAAGAGAAATATTTGTCAAATTGCCAGTAGTCTTTGCTACTTTTTAGGTAGTTTTTTTGATGTTTTCCAGATCTGTGGGCTCTTCTGGAATAAACAGAGGCAGACGTCCACCCCTTGAAGTGTTTGGCTCCCTTTCACCAGTCCCAGCTGGAGTCTATACAAAACCCAGGAAGGCGATCCCCTCTGAGCTCTTAAGTAGAATGCAGCACAAGGCGGCTTATTCAGAATGGCTTAAGTCTGAACTGTAGCAGCCAATTAGGCTAATCCCCCTGGTCAGATTACACATAGCCACAGCGGACTGCTGACCTCTGCTGGGATTTAATCATACAATTAAAAGGGCGGTCTTGTGTGCTGAGATGACACACATTGAATTTAGGTGATGCCAAGCTGTGAGACAGGGCAAACAAACATGGCACAGGGGATGATGTCACATGATCAGGCCGAGCCAATAGGGATGATGATGGCGGGGGAGATGTTCTCCAGTAAGGAGAGGCTACATCATGTGCGGGGAGCTGCAGGCCGACCTTGAGAGAAGGTCAATGAGCTCCAGCTTGGACATGCCCTCTGGGAGGATGCGTGGGATGGCAGCCACGCAGGTCCTGAAGAGATCAATCTTCGGCTTCCTCTCACCACTGGCAGAGAGGAGAAAGAGAAGGAGGAGGAAGGTAAAATGAGAAAAGACGGATCAAGGCTATGAGGACGGGCTAGGCCCTCAGGATCGCTCCCAAGATCGTCCTGTCCAATGAATGCTCTGCTGAGCTGGTTGATGACCCATTTAGGTGGACTGTGGCAGCGAAGCGAGGAGGTCTGCAGAAGGAAGGGCACCCACGTGATCATGTCCTCAGGCTCCTTGTTCAACATCTGCACGTTGGTCAGCATCATGCAACGGCCCACCTCCTTGTCCAGATGTCGGAGGATGCTGTCGATAGCTTTGCGCACCTGTGAGTAGTACAAGGCCATGCCTGCAGGGGCATCAGGAGAAATACGGTAAAACGATAGGGTTCAACTGTCCTGCTGAATCCATAATTGACAAAACAACTGACCAATCTCTGGGTTTTTCGAGGTGAGCTTATGATTTGAAACAGCCAGGTAATTTGTAGAGCAAATCAAGTCACACAAAGAAAATGCTCCCAATCTGAAAAATGGATCATGCAACCCCTTTGGCCTTTTTGGCTAAAACTACCCTCAGTCAGCGCGGTACCTGCTGGTGTCATTATGGTGCCCGAAACATGGTCTTTTGGACTATAGTGAACAGTGCTGTGGTCCGGGACTTACCGATGAGCTTGGCCTGTTCCTCGGTCAGGGTCTTACTCAGATAGGTCTTCTTCTTTTTCAGCGTGTTGCCCGAGGGCAGGGTGGCACACGTGTTGGGCATGGGTGGCTCACCGTCCTTCTGCTGCAGGCTGTCCGCAATCACCAGGAAGGCCCTGAGGCCGATGTTCATCCTCTGGGGCACAAGGTCACCATTCCATCAGTACTGCTTCAATAGCAAGAATCCTTCCATCCATCCACCCACCCATCCATCCATCCATCCATCTATCCATCTTCCTAACTGCTTATGAAATGCAGGGCTGTGGTGTAGTATAATAATAATAATAATAATAATAATAATAATAATAATAATAATAATAATAATAATTATTATTATTATTATTATCTTGAGGCTGAAAATAAATACAAAATTACTATTATTATTATTATATGTAATTTTCATAAGATTATTCATAAATAAGAATAGCATAAAATACTTAAGGAAGGTCTGGACATCTTTGGATTTAGTCAAAAGTTTTTTGTCTAAATTCTCTGTGTCACCGCTGTGGTGTCACAGGTTCGGGCCCCTCGCCTGAGCTCCGAGGCAGCATGCCATGAGAGGAGGCGCCAGGCGATTGGTCTGGGCTCTGGCTTTCCGCTAACAGCCTCATTAGCCCAGCAGCAGCCACCCCTGGGTGGGGGTTTTGGCCTCGCTTCCTGCTTTGGCACAAGATGATTGAATCCTCCAATGAGGGAGAAAAAAATGGCTACCTTGGCGAAGAGGGCCGGCAGTGCGTCTAACGAGCTGCACACTAAAATGCGCACAAAGGCTGCTTGTCATAACTGAATATATAAACTTTCATTCACAAACACCTTTACAGGCATGCCAGCATTATATAGGAAAGTGTGGGCGGAACATGGGGTTTTTGAAATTGTCAGCGAAATATGAGTTACCTCCGGATTAAGGCTGAAAGCTTTTGCCGGTTTTCCCACACACAGCAGGTCAAAAATGATCTCTTTCATAGCGAAGTCGAGCCGCTCCTGCATCGAGACAAGAATGAAGTGTCAGACGACACACTGCATACAGGAATATCCTGCGATGCTGGTTCACAGCAAAAAGTCTGAGACTGAGCGCTCAAAATAGGAGAACATACTGTATTAATGCAAAACTTTATCAAGTGGATTCATGATCTTCAGTACTGTGTACTGAACATCTAGCCAATGTTTGCTTTGCAAATAAACTCATCAAAACAGTTCCACTTAAAAAACAAGTTATGGTTCTCTATGGACGTTCTCAGTCTTCCAGGTTGAGGTACAAATACGTAAAGAAGAAGAAGGACAACTCTACATCCATGATCTCATAGTAGAACATCCATGGAGGTTTCCCACCATTCTGATGAGCCGAAGACTCTCTCAGACAAGTGCTGAAACATTTTCAAGATTATAATTTATGGTATGGTGTTTTTCTTTCATATATGTATAGTGCTGTTTTTCGAGACCCCCAGACCTGGGCAATGAACTGGATGATCTTGACGAAGATGTTGAGGGGCATGTCACGGGGGACCACACTGCGGGAGCCTTTCGGGAACAAGGTGGTGATGATGGAGCTCAGGCGGCTGCAGAAGGAAGAGCCGCATTAGAGATTCCCCCTGCAGAGCAGCCTGCAGCCCCCGCTGCTCCCCAGGACCAATGCTGCGAGCTCCGTGCTCACCTCTGCGTGGCCGTGTTGCTCTCACACTTGATCCGGACACAGTAAACCCACAGCAGGCGATACAGAGACTCCAGGGCCACACGAGCCATTTTGTGGTCCTTGTTCTACGATGGACAACTGGCATTACTAATTCATTCATTCATTTATGCAACTAGTTATCCACTCAGTACTGGCCCAGTACAGAATATGCAAAATTCAAGTTAAAAAGGCTTTCTATTCTCCCCCACCCCCCCAATATTTACTATCAATTATTTACACAAGTCCATCCATCCATCCTTCCATCCATCCATCCATCCATCCATCCATCCATCAGTCCATCCACTAATCCATTTCCTGTACCCACTTATCCTATTCATAGTCCCAGGGGTCTGAAGCCTTTGCATGGTTGTTCCATCTACCATGAACTGCTGCCAGTTCTTTGTAAGCACAGTGTGTTTGGGGTTTTCCATGGCTGGTTACTCAGGGGCATGAGTAGTGGCTACATAAGCAACTCAGGCACATTACCAGACCAGAACATGGGACCAGCTGGACCATCACAGGCCGGATTTCGTACCTTGAGGTTGGAGAGGCAGTTGTTGAGAAAGACATGCCAGCGGCTGAGGAAGAGCTGCTTCTGGCTGACACACAGCAGGCAGGTGACCAGTGGGTATAAGGCCTTGACAGGAGAGAAGGTCAGCAGAGGCCAGTGTCATTATACGTCACTAACAGGTATCCAGGCATCCTTATCAGAATCAGGATCAGGCTTATTCACCAACTATGTTCACACATTCAGGTACTGTGCTGCTGTTTGTCAGTGGCTCTCATATATACAGTCCATACCCACACAGATAAGACCAGACAAGACAATGGCACATTCAGTTTGGTTGATATATATCAGTGTTTCTCAACCAAGTTCTTGGGGACCCCCAGACAGTCCACATTTCTGTTCCCTCCAAGCTCCTGTCCTTAACTAAGAATACCAGATACCTGGTACAGGTGTGTTGGGAGCTGTGAGGGAGCAGAAAAATGCATACTCTGTTTGTCCCCAAGGGCTGGGTTGAGAAACACTGGTATATACAACGATAACATATGGTTAATAAATGTATTAAATGTGCAGTAGGGCATGTCAGTGCATGGAACGTTGTAGAAAATGCAATATGTACAAATTCAATACAATAGGTACAGTGACTTATTTACAACGATGAGGTATTGCTTATTAAGGTGGGGGGTAACAGTGCAACTGATCTGAGGCAACTGGTAAACAAATGCTGGGGGTTAAAATGGTCAGGTGATCACTCCCCGATCCAAACAAGGCAACGAGTATAAAACGGCACAAGAAGAAAACCAGTCACTGACAAGAGAATGCTTCTTCCTGGTCGACAGGTCAAGGGTTGTGTCATAGAGACTCTCCACAAAATTCCTCAAGCATGGCACGTTCACTTCGTTCTTCACGGTCTGGAGTTGGTGAAACGTCAACACAGGAATCGGTCACCACAACAGATGAGAAACCACACAACAGAAACCCTAGATTCCAGCTGCTGTCAAGTGTTCTCTTATCCAAAGCAATTCAATCTCATTTATATTTCACAGTAGTTATTCAGCTTAATTCAATCTATGCTCAAAGGTTTATCAACAGTGCCCGGTCTTGAAGCCAACAACCCATGGCCATGTCCTTAAGCATTACAAAACCTGCCAAGGGCATAACTTTGGGTTGAGCATTGGGAGAGGGATGAGGTCTCCATCCATTTAAGGTCCAAGGGGTTATATTAGCTGGTTTTGATTATTGGGGGGTTACAACCCCCATGACCCATAATTAACGGCATTGCTGCCCAAAAGATTTATGCACGTTTACAGCACATTGAACAGCACCGATTCACAAATTCACAACAAAACTGATTCACAAAGCTGGATGTTAAAGCACTCCATTTCTCAAGCTCTTCTCAAGGATACAACGGCCTCAGTTTGTGTAAACCCTGATCACGTTTCCTTAATTGTAGGGACTCACCGCAGCCACAGGCACCAGGATCTCCACGAAGAGCCCCGCCAGTGCATGCCTAATGTCCTTATCTTTGACTTCCAGAAAGTACTGGGCACACTCCTACCAGGATGACGGAGAGGAGGCGGAGAAAGGTCAAAAGGTCAGCTACACAATGTTGGTGGACTCTACAGCCAGACATTTAGAACAGTACTTATGCTATGTCCTACCAGATTCAAAAATAATGGGAAGAATTTGTACCGTAGTTAGGTGGGAATTTTGTTGGCCAAATTTTGTTGCCTGTTTTATTAAGAAGATAAATGTAAAAGATGCAGATGGTCATGACCTTTGGTCTCCATTCAGAGGAATCCAGCACAGGATTAGTTAAAGCTTGTGAGGAGTCAACATCAGGACTAGGACTTCATGGGCCATGGCAAAGGGCATGCAAGCAACATTCACATTCCACAGATCAGGAGGAGATAGTGGACACCTGCATGAACTGGAAAGAGGCCTCAAAGTCCTCCACGGGATACATCTTGATACGGAAGAACTTCAGCCCCATGATGAGGCTGATAGTACTTTGGACCACAAAGGGGTTCTGCTCCTTCTGTCGCAGCTCTTTCAGCTCTGCCATGAACCTCTTCTTCACAGCAGGGAACCTGAAGGAGAGAGCAAGAGAGTGAAGGGATAAGGAGAGAGAGATGGAAAGGAAAGAAGAAAAAAGAGGAGGATCTAGCAGAAAGAGGATCTAATAGAAACACATAAGACACACGATATATGGAACATTGAAAGATGTAATGATCAGTGCACCAGAAGTCAAGATATTAACTGACTGGAAAGTGAAACTTAAACGATTGAAGACTACACAGTGTTTGAGAACTGCTAAAACAAGAATTCAGTACACAGGACTGAAGTACCACTGAGATAACATTCAGTACATATGAATGAAATACTATTAAACTGAGCATTCGATAGGTAATATTTACAGAAATAAACATTCAGTAAGCAGGACTGAAATGGACACACGGTACATATGGATGAGAGATCACTTAATGACATGTAAACTGCACAGGTCAGGGATTTAGGACACTACTAAAATGGACTTTGCCCACAGATCCAACAGTGACTTAGTGATGCAGTGCAGTTGACTGCTGTGCATCAGCCAAACCACAGAGACTCCAAGATAAACCACGTCTCTTTTAAGGACCCCCTTTCTATGGTGACCTTCTTGCTGGTTTGAGTCAAGCCATGTAGATTCCATGAACCACATTCCTGAGAAAGCAACCCTGGTTCAGCAGTGAATGGACTGTGGTTATATTCAGCACTGATCAGAGATCAGTGTCTCTGCCACAAACCTAACTGTGACCTATGTGCGTCTGGCAAAAACAACAAATCCTGGGTGAGGTCCCTGCAGAGACATGGAGTGCCTTAACCACAGCTGAGAGCAGGGCCAATCAGCCGTCTCCAGTGCCTAGCTTCAGGCTCGCCCCCAGGCGGTCACATGAGCTTGAGGCTTGATGCTCATTGGACACATGCGTCCATACAAGAGAAAAACAACCCCCTCAATCCCTGTTTACTAGAAGAGAAACACAACTGCCCAAATCTCGCAATTCAATACTTCTCACTATGACCCGAGGGACTACCAGGACTCCAGTGAAAAACATGCTTACATGATAAACATGTTAAATCCTAACGTATCATAAACATAAACAGAATTTAATTTTCATTTTGCCATCTGAATTTTTGCTGCAAGGATGCTGATGGGAATAGACTTCAGATTTCGTAATTGTCAGTAACTGTTTTTTGACTCGTTATTTTGTTTGAAAGAGCATATTGGCAGTACTGTTAACGCAGAAAAAGCATTCCTCTAAGTGATATGGCCTCAGGCTTCTGCCCAAACCCCCCCCAGCAAAGCCACCGCAAGGGTGGGATCTCATCCAGCTCTATGTTTAGAGCGGCATTTGGCAGCGAGCTGGGTGGGGGGGCATGACCTCTGCCTGCCCTCCTCGCAGGATGTTGGCAGCTTTCCGAGAAGACACACAGGATGGGGTGGCAACTTGTCACTGAATTTCCGCACCATCGACAGAACGAATGTGAACTGAAGGGACAAGGACAGTGTGTACACACACACACACACACACACACACACACAGACACAGAGACACACACACAGACACAGAGACACACACACACAGACACAGAGACACACACACACAG